ATTTTGTCTATGCCTGCCCAGACTTTGAAGCCTAAACACCCACCCAGCCACAGTCCACCACCAAACAGTGCCATCAACAGCAGAAGCAGCACGACGCCAATTGGGAGTCAGTCAGTCATTGAGTTGGTCTGTCCGGGAAATTTCAAAAGTTGCGTGACCTATTTTCCTCACAATATTTTACCAGAGTTCAAAGACCTCTTGAGCGGCGTCGAAAATGCTCAAGCGCCGGCAACATCATGACTACGGCGCACGTCCATCTGGACAACCCCAAAACAAAACCTGGGGGCTTACTTTTCAGCTGTGCTTTTTGTATCTAATTTAATTCTTTTTTTTTTTATATAGCGACTGCAACTGTTTTCTAGTTGTGTGGCGTGGTGTGGGCTGACATGATGTCATTTATATGTAGGTCTATTTGAGTTGTGATCGGGGGGGCAATATAAGCTCCCGACGAGGGTGGAAATGCATAATCAGCCGCACACAGTTTAACATTCCAAACTCAATGTATGTGCTTAAATATTATGCCTTCGTATATAAGCCGAAGATTTGAGCGCTATATGGTGGTTGGTTTGCTTGAGTAAAGAGTATAGATATGGGTCTCTAAAACTGTCCGTCCATTGTGCTTAGTCATGTCGCCGCTTTTGATATTTGCTGCTGTTGCGTGCCGTCTTATTGACCCATTTTTCAGGCTGGACTCCTATGTGGACAGCTAAGTGCAATGCCTTTATAAATACTTAGATAGATAGATAGATAGGTGTGTATGTGCGTTTTATGTACATGGCTCATTTAATTAAATTCTTGTTATGTTCATTTTTATGCTAGATTAATCTCAGATACGTAGCCAGCGATAGCACTACGTGTAGCTAGGCTGTTGTTGCTAATGATTTGTAATAATTTTCGTTGATTTCTTGGTCCCAGATTTCAACGAGGTGCGTATTAGATGGAGTGGTTTGTATATGATCTAGAGGTAGCACAGTATTTTACAGATAAGCCATGCTATTAAGAGTCAACAATTATTTATAAAGCAGTTATATATTTTTGAATCTTTAGCTTGATTCAGAGCTACATAGCCATTTCTAACATTCATCTTTGCAAGACTATACGCGTTTGGAGTGACTTTTCTACAATAATTTTCAAATATAATTCAAATTTTAAAGAGTTCGGGTATAGATGTAGACCTCGTAGCATTCTACCCTTTATTCATAACTTATCAAATATCATTATTATATATCTTAAATTTCAGAAACCGAGAAGTCAACAACTATTTATAAAACAAATAGGTAAAAGTCTCCTTTCACCTTTAAGCTGAGGGGTTCTTAAAATAAATGCAGATTAACTGAATTAGAGAGCCAGTCCTAGTTTTCTTCTTTACAGTGATAAGATTATATTATAAGAGAACAGTTGATATGGCGAATGTTCTAAATTGTAGTTTTTAAGAATCCGTAAACCTTTTATCAAGAATTTTACATCTGAATAACTTTAATATTAAGAGATTTCATCCGTCTTTTTTACGACACAGGAATGCTTTTTCACTAAATCATATCTTTTGACAACCTCAGTTCTGTTAGAATTCAGAATATTCATGATATTTCAAAAGAGGCGCTTTTATAATGAAAGAAACAATGATTGTGTTCTAGGAGGGAGAAACCTCGAGACTTTACTTTACTGTTTTCTAAATAAAACGTGTGGCTTACTATTTGTTTTCCTGCTTCTTTAATCGAAATATCTCAAATTGTTGTAGAAATATGACGTCGCTAACACAGAGCTGTTTTCAGCCCAATCTTCAATATCTTCCGGCTCGTAACATAATTTGCTTAACTGGCTAACAATAACTAATCAAATCCAATTCTAATTCTTTTTACAATTACTGCGAGTTATATAACATTTTAATTTGTCTTTATTTTATCCCAATTATCTCTAAGTTTCTCTATCATTTCTCAATTGCAGTTTGCCCTCTTTTGTTTATTTTTGACGAACTCCCACGAATACTATAGCACGAGTATAAGACATCATTCAAAGAACGTTCAGGTCAATGGCTATGGAATACCTTTTACCAACCAACGCCTCAATGCGCAAACGGAAACAACAAATCAATCTGGCCAGCACTAACACTAACATCCAGTGAAGATGATGACAGGGGACATTAACTGCGCGCATCACCATCCAGAGCAAGAGCGGCCAAAAATGTAAAACGAAATATAATCTTGAGGAAAATGTTTTTCCAGAAAACAAAAGCCAAAAGAAAACAAATGTCTCGCAAATCTTGTATAGGAAAGTTCAAGAACCCCATGAAACCGTCACCAGCGACCATTGGCTGGCACACTGGCTATGCTATTGGATGGACGTCCAATGGGGCTCCCACCCCCTGCCCCAACAATTCCAAAAGAAAACGAAAAACAAAAAGAGCGGCAACAGCAACAACATTACGAGCAGCAAGAAGAACAACTGCCCTCAGACAGCCACCAAATTTCCCTGAGCGCACAAATGAACTTCACACACGAAAAATGAAAGTGAGTCTTGTTGCTGCCCCTGCCACAAGCGTTTGTGGCTCGAATCGAAGCGACTCTACGCGACCCCCCTCTTGCTGCCACAAAGTTCTTGTTTGGCGCAAGAAAAGCAGCAACAAGAGCAGCCAAGTTCATTGAACTTCTTGCTGGAAATTCGGAAGCAGCCAAAGTTGCTGCCATTGGAGCAAAAGCTAAACTCGCTCGCTGACTGACTGACGCTTTTCTGGAGTTCTCGCCCCCTCTCCTAGCGCCCGCGCCGAACACTTTCCTATACAAGTTGTGGGTTGTGCGTGGATATGCATTTTGGTGGTTGAAGTGCCACACACACACATACACTGAGAGATTGATGATTCGATTAAAAACTAACTTTAAATGAGAATTGTTAAATATACTTTATCTTCACAATGGCATCTTGCGGCTTGGAAATGATATTCTTCATTTTCAAGAACCTATTTTGATTAAAACAGCTATTTAAAATAAAGGCCTAATCAAAAATATTTCAATTCTATCCAAATACCTAAAATGTATTTAAAAGGTAAATTCAATCAATATGAATAACATTTAATTATATAGAAAGAAATTTTGCTCAAAAATGGAAAAATGCTAAATAAAAACCTTTTTATGAGGCGGAAAACTTAATTTGAATTCGAAAATTTATTTTCTGAACTTATAATTATAAATTTTCGAATACAAATTAGATTTTTCCGCCTCATAAAAAAGTTTTCATTTAGCATTTTTCGATTTATACATTTTTCTAAGTACTACAGAGTTTATTTCTTAGTTTTGAGCAAAGATTCATTTTATATACGATAATTAAATTTAATTCATATCGATTGAAAGAGAAATGGAACCTATTAAATACTACTTTCTTTAAGTGTATGTGCATATACATATACACACACACAATCATAGCCAAATTGGTTAATTTACTTAGGAGGGCTGTCACACCCTTTGCCCAAGGCTTGCACCCACATGCGAACGATTTGCAATTGTTCCTTCGGATTGGGCTTTTGGTGTTTCCTGAGCTAAAAGCAGGGTATGGTTGTGCTTCAATTGACTAGTTTAAGCTTGAAATAAATAGAATTATACCTACATATGTATATGGAAGCCATTTATTATACTACTACATACAACAATCTGTCAAAGATTTTTCTTCAGTTTAAACATTTTGTAGCATACATTTCAGCGCAACAAAAATGAAGGCAAACAAAAAGTTCTCAGAGCATGCTTTGAGGGTTTCTTGAAGCGGAAAATTCAGATATTGCAGACCTGGCAGATCTGAACCATCAAATTTGACGTATATGTTCACTCTATCTTTTATCAGAATAGTGCGCACCCTTGATCTATTCATTACCTTAAAATGTATTCGGATTGGAAATGTATGTGGGAACAATAATTAGAGCTCTACAGGTCTTATATTGCAGTGATTGACAGACCTTTATTGTTTGTTATCTTCTAAAAGGACTACTTTCTATGTTTGAAGGGCAAGAAACTAAAGAAATATATGTACATATATATATTTTAAGCACTTACCGTACAGAAAATTTGATTAATATTCAATAATTTAGTGGAAAAAGGAGTTTTTTCTGACAGCTTAAAATGTAGCCTATCCTTTTCTGACTTTTCACTGCAGAATCTTCCAGCTGAAGGCTGGTACATATATATTACAAATGCTGAAAAAACAAAGAGCTATTAAACCAATTGGAATATCTATTAAAACTTATTGTATATATATTATATATATGTATCTGATAGAGTAGAACTTATAAACCACAGTCCCCGGGCTTAGAAACATTGATGGAAATATAAGATACTCCAGTTCACTTATTCCTTAGAATAAGGTGTAGGTTAGGCTTACTTGTTCTTCATACTCTTACTCAGAAGGACGCTAAGAGCCTTAGATTTTGGATATCTAAGATATGTCGAAGAGAATTTTTACTTATTCAATACAACTAGATTCTTAACATTAATGTAATCTAACTAACGATAAATTATAGTTATATCAGTCATCTTTTATTACTTTAGAGAGAAAAGGGAATACAGATCCATTAGTTTATTACAAGTGGAATGTAAGAAAAACCGAAACAGAAAAAGAATGAAACAAGGTTTCAAAAATGTTCTTTTGTGGGACTAAATTTGTAAAGGTGTTTACAACAAAACTTTCAAAAGTTTAAACTTTTTAGTGTAAAGAATTAAATATTGCGTACAGATAAAAACTATTTAGTAGATGTACTGAGTATATAAATAAAATCAAGATGTAATAAAGGGAACACTTGATATCATTCATCAAAGTATTTTTAAGTTTTGGAAAACTTAAATACTTTGGAGCAGAGCTTTTCTTTCTACTGAGAACAAATCAGCACAACTAAGAAATATGCAGCAACAAGCAATCGCCAAGGTATAATCAATAGCCAGAATATGAGCTTCTACTCATTACATTTTGTTATTTTAAAACTCTGGCTATTTTTACGTAATAAAAAACACCAATTTATCAAATCCCAGAAATAAAATAATTTATTACGTTAATTTTACGTTTGTTTAGTTTTTTTTTTTACACATTAATAAAAAATACAACTTCTCTGCCGTTCTTATGATGATGTTTGCAAATATTCTCACATATTTTTAAGTGTTTAGTTATGCTACTTCTTATAAAATTTGTTCACAATCGATCAATAAAAACGATTAAACTATTTCATTAACGTTAATAATACGAGCATATTATAACTTGTAATGGGGTGGGAGCTGCGTTCACACATAGAATGAAATATTTTTAGCAGTTGGTTGTTAAATAATTTATACTTAATGCCAAACGATTAAATCAAATCGAAACTTTATAAAGAAAATGTGAATGTGCAAAACAAAATATACCGAAACTTACTCGTAAGAAGAGAATATTCCTATCCTTTTTTTTCAACATTTGCAGTTGGACAACCAGTGCATTGCCAATTTTGACTAAAAGTTTAAGGATTTTGTTGGCCTTTAATATGTTAGTGAGTGTGTATATTTGTTTGTGTGTCTGTGTGGCTATTATAGTAAATAGACTTATTGGTTTTCTCTGTTCATCGTTGTTGCCATCAGATATTATGGGGCCAGATTAAGCCGTCGAGCTTTGTCTTTTGATTGTTATTGTGGTTGTTGTTCTTGTTATTATTATTATTGTTGTTTATTATTTGTATTTACTGTTGCGCCGGCGCAGGTTGCGGCTGTGGCGCCAATCGAGTAACAAATCCAATACCGCTGCGAATTACTTTGCCCACAATTGGGGGCGAGCGTGCGGCCAGCGCTTCAAATGCAATGCGCAGCTCAGCGAAGGCGGTGCGGGGATAGGGATTGCGACGTGAACTATAACGCATAACCAGATAGTGGTAGTAGATGATGGGTGTCATCAAACCCGCATGGCTTCTGCATTGTACAAAAAAATGAGGCATTAAAACAATAATCTTACATAGGAGCCATAACAATACTTACATGAATGCCAGCACAATGGCCAGAGGCATAATAAAGATTTCCGTAAAGGCGGTGACCTTCAAGATGTTGGCCGCTTGGAACTCCACAATCGAGATAATGAAACGAGCGCCCCACCACGAATTTTGGCCAATAAGCTGCAATGGTAAAAAGAGATTATTCGATTGCCTTTATCCATATCACTTATACAATAAAACCCACCGAATAGGCTAAGCTTTCTAATAATCTCTCAATCAATTCGAAGTACATACTATATTTTTTTTTGACAAATGGATATTAATTGGGTGTTTTGAGACTTTTTTTTTCCTAATATCTGAAAACATTTTTTCTACATATTGTATAATAGTTGATCGGTTCGTAGTTCGTTTAATTATAAAATAAATCTGATTATTCGTTTAGTTTTGGGGAAAACATTTACAATATGACAATTTGTTTAAAAATCAAGTTCCAACTGTGCCGTTCCACAGTTCCCTAGAAATATTCGAATTGGAACAATCAGCATGAACACAGTCCTACACTAATTACATTCTATCTAATCTAATCATCGTTGTGTTACAAACATATGTCGCATAATTTTGATTGTGTTTTATGTGCATATAGCTAATGATTCTCAATGTTCTAACTTGTTCGTAAGAAGAGATAAATTGGCAAAGATATGCCAACATATCTAAAGCTAACTTACAACTTAAACATAAAAAAAATACGGACGCACTGATAACATCATTTTTTTGCAGTCTGTTAAAAAGAAACTCTACTTAAGATTCGATTATATATCACATATAAAAGCGCCTACAACGTATCCGTATACTTGCTACTTTAATAGCATATATATTTATAGTTATACTAAATATCCGTGCGGTTTACTTACATCCAAGAGCTTGAGCGAGTAGCTGGAGGCATGCAATACGGCATACAACACAACGGGCACAAGTACAAGAAGATTGGGTATAATGTTAAAGAAAATGAGTGAATACATCATATAATGACATGAGTCTTCGGCAAAGAGCCGTCCAAGAAATTCCCGCGAGAACGAGAAGGCTGGGACGCGTTGATGCAAGCGCAGGGCCGAAATGGCGGCATTGGCGAGCAACACCTTGCTGAAGACGCTCTTTTGTGTCCTGAAATAGAGGAGAACATTTGAAATCGGTGTACTATAATGTGTTTCGTCTACTTACGCGAAAATGGGCAGAATGTAGCTGATGGTCAATACTATGACCAGGAGTCTGAGCGCCCAGAGTGCCGAATCAATGCGATTTGTTTGGAAATGGTGCAACAGCTTTGACGATGCATTCTGTGTTGTCTGTGTTTTTCGCTCCTGTCCCTCCGATGTACTTGAAGGCTCCTCACGCACATCATCGCCATCGGCACCGCTCTCGTGATGTGGTGAATCTTCAGTTGACGAGCTCATTGTTTAAATATATTTTTTACTTTTTAACCAATTTGTTGCTGTATTGCGTTCAGTCTGCAATTTAGGAAATATAAGGTTTTAGTCAGCAACAAACGTTATCAGTGAGGCGCGCGAAGTAAGAATGCGCTTATCAGGCCATAAAGGCAATTGCTGCTTGATAAGCAAAAGCCGCTTGTACCTAAAACTGTCCCTCAACAGTTACTTTAAAACATATAAGAGATATTCCAAATTGTTTTATGGTGAAGTAAAACCCAACGTGCATTAACAAGTCTACTAATTTCTTTGTTAAGTTTAAAAATTAGGTTAGTCCTATATTGTAGGTTTCCAATAATATTTGATAATAAACATCAGTTTCATTTTGTTTGCTCGATATTTAAAACTATGGCAGACTTCTAATCGAAATTAAAACTAGAGTGGATCATATTATAAATAAATATCAGTCTATCTCCTAGGTATGTGGATCAGGCTCCAAAATATATTAATTCCGGTTGCAGTCATTAAAAATATTCGGAAGAATGCAGCTGTCGGGTTATTTTTTCAAAATATTAAACACTAACGTAAATTTAAACATATAAACTATGTCAAATAATATTAAATATTGATTGCTTTTGAATCCAAATATGATAACTTTTTGTGAAGACTATATTATTTTAGTTTAATATTTGGCACGTTTTCTAATTTCCAAATGAATTCTGTAGGTATTTATTCCATTTTATTATTATTTAGCTAGAATGCAGCTACAACATAAAGGAATATTCAAACCCTGACTAAAATCATATTTTTATAGAAATAAAACGCAGCCTTTGTTCTAACAGTAGTAGAATTTACAATTGTCGTTCATTGCTCATCATCTGAAGCTGAACGCACATACATATCAGACAGTCGGGCTGAGACAGTTGCCAAAGTGCATTGAACTTTGGAATATTTGCATACATCGGTATGTATGTACACGTACACACATACGTATGTATTCATACTATGTGCAAAGACACAAAGTTAGGGCTTTCAGTTACCGCTTTGCTCGCTGACTTGACACGCGCTTCAAGTTGTAATTTTTGCCTTATGTCTGCCTGGTTTTTATGATTTTCTTTTAAGCAGTCGTATGGAAAGTTGGCTCTTACTGAACAGGCGTGTCCACGAGGCGTAGATCTTGCCGTAAATATTTTTTTAAAATCTCTATTAAGTGCGCACTTAATGACGCAAAGCAATTAAATGAAATGTTTGAAGAAATTAAAAACCCTAAACATGCAAACTAGGTTTATGACGAGCACAATGCAATTACACAGAAACACAAAAGACCCGCAAATCGACCGACGACTTGGACAGTAGAAAACGCAACTGACTACAAGTAATAATAACAACACATAAAGCTAAATTGTTACGAAATAGCGTATATGAGCATACACTAAAACCACGTAACGATGATATTGCGGGTAGTGAACCGTGGAATAGATTTGTTAATAGATTGGGCGCAGAAAATCGTTCAGTTATGATTTTATATGACTATGAAAATGTTAAAATAGCAATGCTATAAATGGTTATTTCTCTATCGAAGTTTTTACAAATAAATAAAAACACAAAGAGCCAGCTTTTATGCCACATGTCTGACCAACCAATAAAGCCAATCTTTTTTGGGTTTCAAATTATAAGAAGTAAGCGACTGCTCATTTTTATCAGATTTATTGATCAATTTCTTGGGTTTGAAATAAAACAACCAGAACCAAAAACTAGCTTTCTTAGCTTTTGAATAAAGACAATTGATTGTTTTCAAAGTCTTACTTCTCAGTAGTATTGAACTTCAGAAGCCGATGCTTTAAAGAGAAATCTAAATAAATCTACAATTTGAAAAGTTCCAATATTTTGTAGAGCTTGTTCTAAGATTTTATTAGGGAATGCGTTTTGCCCACCTTTGACTTCATTTAATGCCACTGTGCAGGGGCTGAGCGATGTTACCAAACAGGTGGCTTTTGGAAAGAGCGGGAGAGCGAGCTGGTGTTTAATTGTCAACAAAGTGCAGGGTTTTTTGTTCGATTTATGAAAAATTAATGATAAGCGAAACGTTATGAAAAGTTGGTGGTAAAGTGGCAGACAGACAAAGACCATTAAAGGCTATTTAAAATGCAAGGTAAATGGCGGCATGTAGGCGTTAACCCACTCTACAATATTGATTTTAATAAGGACCTGCCGTCCTTCACTACAAGTGGGTCAAGTTAGGTATGAGCTTCAGTAGATATGACATATGTACATATTGAGAAATGCTCATTTGATATGCGTGCACATCACACAATATAGTGAGGTCATTCAATAACTGAAACTTTATATCGTAATTTGGTTTTGGTTTGCTGATACCTAACATGATGAAATTTATGTAAATATGGGTAAACAAATGACGTCACATGTACATACTCTGCCAAAAAAGGAACACGTCATAGCACACACAAAAAGGTACATTAAAAATAATTGGAGGTATGTACATATGTATATACATATCTACATTTATTGTCCACCATCAGTTGATTGCGCTGATTGACACTGCTGAACTTTTTCAGCAAGAATTAAACAAATAAAAGTCGTGACGAAGCAAAAAGAAAAGCGCGCTCAAAGTGCGTTGCATGTTGCGATGCCAATAGAAGAGTCCACTACAATTGGGTGAAATTTGGAACAATTTTGGTTAGAATTGATGCTTCCGCTTTAATTTATGCAGCAAGCTCTAGCATCTCGATGCCATTGCGGGCGCAGGCACCGGCAAACCAGATACATTTTCTATGTTGCACTAATCATTTTTCTGGCACAAAGCTACTACACTATTCAGTTGAGGTTAATATGGTTTAGAACGTGCACTTTATTTAATTTTGGCCGCGTGAAAGCAGCAGTCTCAGGCAAAAACAAGCAACAGCGATTGCTGGTCATTCAGTAAAGCAGTGCAATTGTACTTTGTATAATTAAATGATTAATTCTATATGTTACACAACACTATCGAAAGACAATTAATGTTTGCTTACCCGTGCAAAACAGTTTATGTGCGACTACGCTTTTCGTTTGCGAGAAAATTAAAATAAAATCAAGAAAACTACACGTACTTCCGATACGTCTGTACGTAGGAAAGTATAATTTCAAACTATCGATGTTGTACTTATCGCTGTTTGTCATTACCTATCGTTTATTAACAGTTTGGCAGCATTATCTGATTGTTTACTTTTTTATCAACATATGGTCCAGAGTGGCAGCGCTATTATGTGCAATCACGTTTTCTGTATTTAATTGTTGTACATACTTTAATTATAAACAACTTAATAATGGACGATGACCTCACGCTGCCGGCAGACACAATGGCCATACTTAATGAATTTCTGGCAGAGCGCGCGCAGCGAGAGCAGGAGGAGGAGCAGAGGATTGTAAACAAAACCGGCAAGGATGCGCATTTTGAAGAAGATTGGGTTGGCTTTTCTGTTCTGAATCCTGGCAGTATTCAATGAATCTTAAAGATACATTTCATTCCTTTTTAGCAACTGAGCCAATTCTGGTACAGCGAGAGCACAAAAGTTTCAATAGGTAAGGTAGTAGCCACATTACTAACTGAAGCAGGCGCTACCGATTTTCGTATAGCTCTGTTGTCTTGTCCCTCACTTTATGCCACTATTAAGGATATACATGGGAATGGTATGTTCTTTATATCGCATCAACCGACAGTCAATGTAATGGTTTGCATTTCAGTCAACATTTTTGAATACGATCAACGTTTTGGTGCCTATGGAACCGATTTTGTGCACTACGATTTTAATGCTGCGGACGAAGACTATCTGCAAAATTATCACAACAGCTACGATTTGGTTATAGCAGATCCACCTTTTCTCTCCGAGGAGTGCATTTCTAAAATGTCTGTCATTATACGGAATCTACAGCGCACTAGTGAATCGAAAGTGATTTTCTGTTCCGGCGAAGTAGTCGAAAAATGGCTGACGGCCTGCCTTCCAGTTCGCAAGTGTCAATTTCAACCGGAGCATGAGCGAAATTTGGGGAACGAATTTGTTAGTTATGCAAATTTTAATTTAGACCATTATGTTGTAAATAAATAACACAATTCGAATGCAAACTACCGTTTGTCCGTAGGTGTGTGAAAGACTGTTAAATGCCTTGCGTAGATGTATGTATTTTTGTTCTGTATTCGCACCTATTTCGTGCTGGCATCCGCATCCTTACGCTGCTGAACCAACTCACGCAGACCGTCCTCCTGGTCCTTCAGAGATTTTTGCAGAAATTCCTTCTTTTTCTCGAGCAGATCAATGGCTTTATCACATTTGTCCTGTTTATTTTTTAGCTCATCGCGCATATCATTTACACTGGTTAGCAGAAACATGCGTCCAACAGACAGATAAACTCTATGGAATGATTTCTTTATCATTAGATGCACTCAACAATATACACGAAATCTTACCTTGTATCGTCGGCCAGGTTGCTGGTGACCTTTTCCGTTAACTGATACTTATGTTTGCCTGTCTTTACCATGTCGCATCGCATATCAATCATATTAATCTTTTTGGCTGTTTCCAATTTATTTATTTGCATTTCGGTGAACGCCTGCAAAAAATATACATATAACAGGAGCAAGCATGACTAACTTTGCTTATTGGGCAGCATGGGTTCCACGCCGGCTGTTGCACAGCTTCTAAATGCATTTCAAATGAATTTACCTTCTTTAATTCCAGATCCATTTGTGCCATTTTGTATGATAGTTGCTTTTCTGCTACTTATTTATCTCAAAAAACACCTTTTCCGAACGAATTTTGTAAAAGTCTCAACACCTGCTACAAAATCTTTTAGTCTCCTGCTGATTAAAGATGGCAGGTTCGCTGAATGAAACGAATGTTATCGATAGGGCTGTAACGAAACATCTAACTTGGGCACAGGGTGATTCATAACGTAACCATTTTCCGTTAGGAGGATTAACCTACTTTAAATAACGTTCAGTTGACCTGAGAGAAGCCATTAAAATGCTGGGCAAGTCACCATTAGATGTCGTCAGCTTGAATGCGCTCACATTCGTCGAGAAACATGGAACGTTGGCACAACAAAATCGCAGTGGTAACAGGTGCCAGCGGTGGAATTGGTGCTGCCTGTGCTCGTGCAATGGTAGGGGCAGGATTACGTGTTGTGGGCTTGGCACGTCGGGAGGCCAAGCTCAAGGAGTTACGGGACAGCCTACCGAAAAATTTGCAATCAAATTTCATACCGCGTCGCTGTGACGTATCTAAGGAGGACCAGGTGCAGAACTCATTCGATTGGATCGAACGTGAATTTGGAGGCACGGATGTGCTTTTAAACAATGCGGGCATAACCCGTGAAACAGAGCTTGTGGCTCCCGGAAATACCCAAAAGCTGCGAGAGGTTATTGACACCAATGTCATGGGGGTGTTATGGTGTACACGAGAAGCATTTAATAACATGATTAAACGTGATGCAGAGGGTCATGTGCTTATCATCAATAGCATTGCGGGTCACCAAGTATTAAACTTTATTGATATATTGCCCTCTTTCAACATTTATCCGGCTACGAAATTTGCTATTACGGCCATAACCGAGACATACCGACAGGAGTTCCAGGTGCACAAGAGCAAGGTTCGTGTGACTGCTATCTGCCCGGGGGCAACCAACACCAACATTTTTCCAGAGGAAATACACTTCTATGTGAAGGATATGGAACGCTTGGAACCAGCAAATATTGCCGACGCGGTGATGTATGCCTTGCGCACGCCTCCTCATGTTCAGGTGAGCGACGACAATGTCCAATTAATGACATTTCGTCTTATATTTTGAATTTGTTCTTCTTCAACAGGTTCATGAGATAACCGTGAAACCTATGGGCGAAATGTTTTAATAAACCAACAAATTAATATTTGAATGTTTCATTGTTTATTCGTTAGCGGAATCAAGCAACTTGGATCATCTGTTTTATATATATCTATATTGCAAAGATGATCAAATTCAAGACATATTAATTTAAAATTTTCAATTTAATAAATACATATACATATATGCATGTACACTAGCAACTTGTAACTACTGAAGATACTTGCGGTAGAGCGATAATTAAATAGAATTATTTCTTACATTTCTTTTGTGGTCTTCTGCAGCTTAAATATATTAGGTCCATACATAACTTTGGTTTCCGTTCAGCTTGTCGTTAATAAGCCAAAATCTAGTTAAGCTAAAAGATAACCTAGATACAACTAGGCTACTTCCTGCTCCCTGGATTCTTTTAACTGCGCCAACCGCTCACGCAACAGGTTTTCGTTTAATCGATGCATGCATAAAAATTGTCCATTTAAAAAGAGCACAGGTATATCGTAACGAAAGAGCCGCAAAAAGCGCACATTTTCCTTTCGATCTATGTAAACCTTTTGCAGAATATATTCGCCTGCAAAATGTTGCTCCAACTGTTCCACCAACTCATCGCAAAGTGGACATGGAACTTTGGTGTAGAGAGTAAGCTGCGGTAGCTTATTGGCTTCTATGCTTCTTGGTATGCTGCAATAGAAACCAGAGTTTTAAAATAGAATTTAGGAATAAGCTGTCCGAATACACACAGTTTCTCCAACAATAAAAGCAGGTAATTCTCATCCAACATCTCGATTGTTATGCAGCCATAAGCTCCGTTGGGTAACTTGTGTGACAGATGCGTCAGCAAATGAGTTGTGGTAACTTTATTAGCATCGTGTATGGCAATCTTTTGAAGATTCAGCTCTGTCAACCAATCTAGTTCCTGTGGCGTGCGTTTCTGCAACGTCACCAGTTCCAAAGAATGCAGCTCATTGGGTTTTATACCTTGCTGCTGACATAACTGAAGTAATGCAAGTTTTACATCCTTCTCGACAGTGACATTTCGAATGCTTGCCAATGGTTGGAGCTGCAATCGCTTTGACATAAAATTTGTGGCCAAAGATATAGCGGCTGCGTCCAGTGAGGGAGCCAATGGCTTGTCGTCTGACTGCGGCTGCTTTCGTCTTCGCGGCTGTGGCAGCAAGCTCATCAGTTCGCTTGGAGATGTACGCAAATCACCCTCATTATCCGCTTTCTGATGTCGTATGTCACTCAAAATGACGCAATTGTTGGGATCTTTACGTAAACTATCCAGAGCAAGCTGTAAACCACTTGTTGAGCAAACATCTTTGTCCTCAAATGTATGCGATTCGCAGCCTTTCAGTCCCAAATCACTTGCCAATCTGCTGAGATCTATTATTTGCATTACAGCAGGAGTTGTGCAAACGATAAGCTTTTGAATTTCAGTACGCGGCACAGTCGCGCGTTTAATTAAATCATCGACGACAGCACCGGTCTGATCCTGTTCCAAAGGAACAGCAGTGCGAACAGTGGCCGTAATAAATAGTGTGAGTGGCGGCTTGTAATTGCTTTGGTGAGCGGCGCGCGCTAATTGCCAAATGCTAATAAGTATAATTAAGAATATAAGTACATATTTTCATTAATTTTATGTTAGCCACACTTACTTTTTTGTACATTTTACCGAGTGCATAAATATAACTGCCGGCATCTGCTTACGTTTAGTTCTGAACGATGAGCACACACAATCGATGTGTGTATATCGATGTTTGTGTGTATCGATGTTGTGTTTTGAACGTTAGAAATAAATAAGCATTGTCATGTTTTATTAAACCTATTAAAAATTGATTTGTTAATCATTCTCTGAGGCTAAAATCATCTCGCAATTTAGTTATATTTATTTATAATTGGAAAGCACAAATGCATGAAACATCGTCAGGTCTGATGTTGTATACGCCCCCATATCGTGCTTTACCACCAGCTGTTTGCATGCTCGTTGTTGTTGGTAATTTCAGTAACAACATAACGGAGAAAGTTTGTAATTTTCAAAAATAACATGCAAATTTAAGGAAAAAAACTAGCGTTTATTATAATCAAATCGCAAATACGTAGTGTAGAAAAAAGAACTGCGTAACTGCGGGCGGTGAAGTTTTGAGAAATTAGGTTACCAGGTGCAAGCATAAATGGAACAAGAAACGACCTTCAAAAGACAAAGATTGGAAGAAGACGCTAACGCTGACGTCGACGCCATCATTGATAGCGGCGATGAATCGGAGTCGGCAAATGATGATATTCTCGCCTTTGGCTGGTGGGCAATTCCAGAGCCCGTGCTCTTGAGAATTTTCAGCCAGTTGGACGTGTACGATGTGCTGCAGGCTAGTTTATGTTGCAGGCGTTGGCATACAGTGGCAAACGATGATTTGCTGTGGCGAAAAAAGTTTCAGGAGCAGTTCAGGGCATCGCCCAGCATACCATTGAAACCTGGTGCAGAAAGCTGGCGTTCGGAATATCAACGCCTCACTACTCATATACCTTTCGTTCAGGCACAACGACTGGAGGGTCACGTTCATCAGGTCTTACATGTCAGCTTTGCAAACAATGGTGAAATGTTTTCCACCTGCTCCAAGGATGGCTATGTGATTGTGAGTGGCCTGAGAATGCTTGATGTGATCGCAATTCAATGATATGCTTTGTCCCACAGGTCTGGCACGCACAACATCCCTGCACGGAAAAATATGCGCACAATATGAAACAATTTAGCTGGAAATATACACAATACTCGCAATTTAATCAGAGCGACACCCTGCTTTTGGTATCCGGTGTACATTTTGGATCGCCACAGAGCACATCTGGCGAAATAGCTGTCTTCACTGTGGACAATGCACGTGAGTACAAAGGCTAACTTGTTCAATCACCGCTCTGACCATTCTTTTGCCTTGATTTATAGATGAATCTCATTTACGCTGCCGCGTCGTCAATCGTCCCTACGATATCTTTGGCACCTGGTTCAGCGATCAATATCTTATATCTGGTGATCTGCATTGGCTGGCACATCTGGTGAGCACCTCAGTGTTGTGGCTAAATAAGGCGAATCAGGAGATCGACTCGGAACATGTACCCATTATGAGCCAGCTTTATAAGTTTTATAATCGCAATGCTAGCTCTGTTCGTGCTATAATGGTGGCCAAATGCCCGTGGCTCGACGAAACCAATGATCCATTAGCCGAGTCCACGCCGGGCTCTTGTGATGTCGGGAGCACAAGTAATGAGGCAGCCACAGCTTCCGGCAATCCACTTTCGCATGCCGCCAGCTTAAGAAGCACCCGCAGCGCCACGCCTGAGGATAATTATCTTCAGGACATCAGCGAGCAAAGCCACATGCGACGCTCACGCGCACGTTATGCCGGCAATACGACGGAGGCCACGATACAATATCTGGAGGAGTATAGAAGTGCGACAGCTACAGATGCTGATGATACCGGCAACGATGCGGATGATGAATACGAGTGCATGGATGTGCATGAAGAGTACGATGAAATGGAGAATAACATACCCAAGTATCTAATATTTTCGACTGGTTCGAAAACCTTCACGCCGCATCAGATCGGCTTCAAGCGCATACGAAATGTATATTTCCCTAAAAAATTGGATCCAGGGCCAACTCTTAGGGAGCGCATTGCAGCAAAGAGAGCGGCCGAACAACAGCAACAACAACAGCCTCGCAATGACCCCGATTGGGGGGATTATGAAGCCGTTAAGGATCGTTTTGATAAGGTAGACAAGGTGATTGATTTACATGGACATATTATTGGCATGGCCCTCACGCCCGATCATCGGTACTTGTACGTTAACACGCGGCCTTGGCCCAAAAGCTATGTCATCACAAATCGGCTGGAACCGCCACCCATAGCGCAGGAAATTGATATTCATGTCATAGATCTGATGACCCTAAAGCGTGTAGGCAATATGCTACGCGCGCACAAGGCCTACACTCCCAGCACTGAATGCTTCTTTATATTTCTCGATGTATGCGATGAGTATGTTGCCAGGTGAGGTGACACATGTTTTTAAACAGATACAGCTGCTTAACAATGATTACGTCTTTTTAGTGGAGCTGAGGATCAGCATGCGTATCTGTGGGATCGCTATTATGGTATCAGCTTGGCCAAGTTTAAGCATACGGATGTTGTCAATAGTGTTGCCTTTAATCCGCGTGATTCTGAAATGTTGGTAACCACCAGTGATGATTACACGATTAAGGTAAGTGATAAGCTCAAGAAAAATTAACCGAAAGCTATTGTAATAATATATGTTCATGTAAATCAATCGGTAAATGTTCAACTTTAATTAGTTTGTGATGAATTTAAAATATAACTAAAAGATTTGTGGTATAATTAGTAAAATGTTAAACATTAAAACTTAAACAATATCTTATACCGAATTATTTCAATAATTTAACACAACATTTGTTATTTTTAGGTGTGGCGCTCGCGGGCCAAGGCGAAGGCTTTCAACATTAGCCCAAATGTTAGCGAGTCCTTTGAGCTGAAGCCCAAGAATTGAAGGTGGCAGGCACAACCAACCGTATTCTCTCCAAACCATCACACTTACGTGCCTGCGACCTGTGACATCAACTTTATCGCGACATCTATTTAAACATTTGAAGCATGCAACTCTTTGTTTTGTTTGTTCATAAAATAAATATATTTATTTATAATTAAGAGTTGTTGATCACCCACCTTCTTGGAATTTTAATTACCGGTGGGTAATGGTTTTTCAATTGAGGATTCTGGCGCTGGAGTTGTTGGTGTTGGTGGTGGCGTTGCTGTTGCTGCTGGATGTGCTGCATTTTCATCTTCTTGCTGAGTCTGCGAGGACGTCGAGGCTCCTTCATTTCGTCGCAAACCACATGAGTCACCAACATCATCAACCGCATGATCATGATCATGGCCATTACCATGATCATGCTTTTTTCGATTCCTTCTGCGCTTCTCTGGATGACCAAAACAGTGCTCGCAGTCCTCGTCATCTTCCGAAGAGCTCTCGCCAAAAGCCAGAGGCTTTCTGTAGATGCAACAGCCTACATTTGTGAAAAACTAAAATTTTAGACCACCGTATTTGCATTGAAATCATAAAAATCTTACATTTGGACTTTTTCTTATTCATATGTTCGTTATCTATGACTCCCTCGTGAAAGACCACACGCCGTTCATCTCGCGGCTGTTCCAAACGCAGCACAAGAGTTGGAACGTTTTGAGTCTGCCTCTGTCCGTTTCCTGCAGATGCATCCGTTACGTCAACTGTTTCCGTTCTTGTGTTAATGGAAGATGCACTCGGTAAATTGTTCTCCATATTTACAAACTAAACAAAAATTTCATATATTGCGGATGAGTCTCTTTCACCAATTAAAATGTTAAGAAGCGTAAAATATAAAAACAGGTGCTGGTGATATGACAAAGTTCTCAGAGGCTCGCCCAATTGTCTGAATTTTTCGAACACATCGATAGCTGGTCGATTGCCATCGTTTCGATATTTCAGATAAGATTCACATCGCTAGTGCACCTACGCACTCATTACAAGGTGGCAGCGCCGTACCGTGACGTTTGGTTCAGCTGTCGTCGTACCGAAAATGGCTGCAATTGTGCGATTTAATTTGTTATCAAAGCCGCAAATTGGTAATTAAACGCAAATAAACTAGTTAAGCTCTGTAGTGCTGTCACGTTACCTTCTTTATGAGACATAATTAAAGCGCACACGTATCCGCTAACGTGCAAACGCAACCATAACATTTGCAAACAAATTATGTAATTTTTGCGCAAAAGCAAAACAAAGTGCACTAAAATGCTGCGTATTTCAATCGATTTTCCTGTATTGATTTGTTTGCAGTTGCGGCTTTGCCTGCCAGCGTGCAACTGCGACTGCAGAGCACCCAGGCTCCACCACCTGGCACTCCTCCCCCACAGACAAAAACAACATTTGGACCTCTGGCGGATGAGGATCGCATCTTCAGCAATTTGTATGGACGCCACGATTGGCGCCTGAAGGGCGCTCTGAAGCGTGGCGATTGGTACAAGACCAAGGAGATTGTCTTGAAGGGTCCGGATTGGATCATTAATGAGATCAAGACATCGGGCTTGCGTGGACGTGGTGGCGCTGGTTTCCCCAGCGGCATGAAATGGTCCTTCATGAACAAGCCATCAGATGGTCGCCCCAAATATTTGGTTGTCAACGCAGATGAGGGTGCGTATGCCTAAGCTATATGTTTTATATTTCGATTTTAATTGGAAAGTATTTCAGGCGAGCCCGGCACTTGCAAAGATCGCGAAATTATGCGCCACGACCCACACAAACTGGTTGAGGGCTGTTTGATTGCTGGTCGCGCCATGGGCGCACAAGCTGCATACATTTATATTCGCGGCGAATTCTACAATGAGGCTAGTAACATGCAATTGGCCATTGCTGAGGCTTACCAAGCTGGCCTGATTGGCAAAAACGCCTGTGGTTCTGGCTATAATTTCGACGTCTTCATGCATCGCGGCGCTGGCGCTTATATTTGTGGTGAGGAGACCGCACTTATTGAGTCTCTGGAGGGAAAACAGGGCAAGCCACGCTTGAAGCCGCCATTCCCTGCCGATGTGGGTGTCTTCGGATGTCCCACCACAGTCACCAATGTGGAGACAGTGGCCGTGGCTCCTAGTATCTGTCGTCGTGGTGGCACTTGGTTTGCCAGTTTCGGACGCACGCGTAATTCGGGCACGAAGCTCTTCAATATTTCGGGTCATGTGAACACGCCCTGCACAGTTGAGGAAGAAATGTCCATACCGCTTAAGGAGCTGATTGAACGTCATGCAGGTGGTGTGATTGGTGGCTGGGATAATCTTCTGGGTGTCATACCGGGTGGCTCGTCTACACCCATCATACCGAAGAATGTGTGCGATGATGTGATTATGGATTTCGATGGCCTGATTGCAGCTCAAACCTCGCTAGGCACAGCTGCTATCATTGTCATGGATAAGTCGACCGATGTGATCAAGGCCATAGCGCGTTTGATTTCCTTCTACAAGCATGAGAGCTGTGGTCAATGCACACCTTGCCGTGAGGGTATTGGCTGGATGAATAAGATAATGACGCGGTGAGTTATAAATTTAGTCTTTAATTGGGCTCAAAATTTAGACATTAAGGGGAATAATTTGGGAAGCTTCGAATATTCAGAAGAATGCCTTTTTGTATTAATATTTTTTTAAATGTGGTTTAAAAGTTTAAGTTTTAATACTGTGATTTACGATTATTTACGAACTTCTGCCTTGCCTTTCGCAGCTTTGTCAAGGGCGATGCGCAACCCGCTGAGATTGATATGCTGTGGGAGATTTCCAAACAAATCGAGGGACACACCATTTGCGCCTTAGGCGATGGTGCCGCTTGGCCAGTGCAGGGCCTCATACGTCATTTCAGGCCCGAGATTGAGTCCCGAATGCAGAAGTACGCGCAGCAAACACAGCGCGCCAGCAATTAAATACATGTTATAGCTAATTTTATTGATTTCAACTATGTCTAAATACCGCGTTTTTGGTCTATTAGCCAAAATAAAATACGAAGCCTAATGCAAAAAAATAAAATGTAAAGTTCTCTAAACAAAACAATTGACTATAATGTGTCATTGATTCGGGAACAATGAAATCTGTTGCTTCGTTTGAATTGAAAACAAATCACTATTTTTGTTGTTATTATATGTTTCATGTAGAATAGCATTGATTTGATTTATATGTCCACAGAGTCGTCAATTTTTTCACGTTTATTAAAACACATTTTTAAAAACCCTTGTTTGTTTTTGAGAAATCAGAAGGTTTATTTTTTTAAAAGAAACCCCCCTCTATTGAACGTGACCTAATCTTAATGATTGTATATGTTGGATCACCGCATTTATATCCTCTTGAGTGGGCCTCACGTGTTTTGGGGGAAATGTGCAGATTGTGAATGGACCCCCAACTTGTTTCTCTAGACCTGGTTGGACAGTGCACCGCCCGGGTATAAACTGATATCTACAAAAGACCGGCAAAGATTTAATTCAGAAAGTGAAATTGTATAATTGCCGCCTAGGGTTTACTTACTGCCTAGCCGTTGAGACCTGCAGACACATCACCAGCGCCAAAAAGCAAAGCAGCAATGTTTTGATTAGCATGTTTAGGGTTCTCTGTTTGGCTCGAGACTGTTTGTACGACTGCGCATGCGTTCGATCTTGTATCGAGCTGTAAGTGGCCCCGACTTAGAACATCTCTTTAAATATATGCAAATCTTATGCAACATCTGGAATTTCTGCTGCTTTCATCTTTCGGTTTTTAATGTCTAGCTAATAGCTGATGAATATTAAATGCATAAATTATCTTATTATTCAATTAGGGGTTAGGTGGTCGCAACAACCTCGACAGCAACAACAACAACAACATCAGGGCACACCGAAAGTGTTAAAAGCAATAACAATTTTAATAACGTGCACAATTTAAATAACAATTATATCTAGGGATGGGAATGGAACGAAATTTAAGCGGGTTTCGTGGGTTTTGCCAAACAATATTCAAAATCAAATGTTGTTAATAATCAAAGTGTGAAATAATTTGCTCGAGTCCCATTATTTCAATAGCTTAATGGTTTAAGCTTGAATTGCAAATGGTTCAGTTGAGATCAAGCTCGTTCTTAGCTAGACAACCAAAAATTAGAGTCCCTGAAAGGCATGAAATAATCTCAAATCGGATCATCTACTTAAAAGCTGTAAGTGCTTCTGTTTAAACCTAATATCGTTCCTTTAAAGTTTATTTATTATTGCTGCTTTATTTATAATTCAAAAGAGAGTCGCTTTTCGTATTAATTAAAAATTTAAAAATAAAACAACAATTTCTTGATTGTAGAACAGATTTAGTATATTTTTTTTGTTTTTTTTCAAAATTTTTTTCTTGTTATAAAGTTAGTTGGAAGTTTAAATGATAATGTTAAAAGTTTAGCCAATTGTTTGGTAAACGAAAACGATAAGTTTGTTTTTGATTTTTTAAATAAGTTCATTATAGGCTATAAGTTTTAGCATAGCGTTTTAGTTATAAAAAGTGTAAAAAGAATTGAGTCATAGAAATACATATGTATATAATATTTGCTTTTTTTTAGTTTTTTGCTTTTCTTAAACACATTTAAACATTTATATACAACTTTAATTTGTTAGTTTTTAATTCGCTTTTTTTGCCAAATTTATTTTGTTTGTTAAATGTTTGTAAGGTATTTGATTTTAAGCTTTTAATTGTTATACGTTTACGTTTTGTTTAGTTATATGTATATGCATTTGTTTGATTTGTATTTATTTTTATTCTATTTGTTAAACTTGGTTTAAAGCGTTTTCTTATTGCTTATTCATGAAAAGGAACATAGTATTATTATATTATTATGTTGTTGTATTTTCATTCAGTTTCAGCTTAAAGACTAAACAACATTTCGAACAAGTCACTATTAGTAGAAGTTTTGCTTCGGTTTCTATTCAATGTTTGTTTGTATGTATTTGTTATTGCTGTACCTATGTATGAAGGTATGTACGAGATGTATAGTATGTAAGTATGTACGATTGTTTGTTTGTAAAAGTCGTTGAACTATGTATTAACCGTAGGCTAGTTACATTTTGTTTGGCATAGCTTTAGGCGTGTAACTATGTGGTGTAAATAAGCGTTACTAACAGTTAGCTATGACTATGTATATACTTGTATGTAGGTATGTCTGTATGTTTGGTAATTATGTATATTGCCAACTAATTGCGTAGAGCTTTTGAAAAACATCTAGATAAGTAGTTAAGGTATTTATTTGTATTTATGTGTGAGTCTGAAAGTGGTTTCCTAATGTTTGTGTGAGTGTGTGTGGAAGTATTTTAAGTAAAAAATATATAGTATGTATATATATTTATATCAAGTTTAGTTTAGTATCACACTAGTAGAGATAATGCGAAGAAGCCTGAGCTCTATACTGTTTCGGTGTCAGCTTTATCAACTTGGGATTGAATGCGCCAAGGGCCGCTTCGTTTGTGGATGAGGGCGGCGGGGGTATGGTGTGGGATCGAAAGCGCGAGCGCAGAAAATTTTGCATAGAACGCAAACGAATGATGGGCGCACAGGGCGATTGTCGAAGCGTATTGTGGTTGAGCGCCCAATAGATGACCGGACTGATGGCCGAATAGAAGTAGCCTGAAAGCAAATTAACATTCCATATGTACTACAACCGATTCCACAGATTCGATTGCGTCACTTACCCAACAACAGATTAAAATAAATGGAAGTTTTACTGCAGTATTGCTTATAACCGAGATTCTTATAGAATATGCAAAAGACATGTGGTGCCCAGCAGACGATGAAAATTAAGGCAGAAGCAATTAGCATATTGGCCAAATGACGACGGGAGCGCAATGTTGAGGTCTGCGGTAAGGGTATGCCGGGGGTAGCAGGTCCACGGCCCGATCGATGAATGCGTTGGCGTTGCGAATGGGCCCGAATCTCCCGCATGGCTCTTTGAAAGAGATAAGGCCAATTCATTTAGCTACGAACCGAAACATATTCGAATATAAAGGCCTATCCTAAATTGCATCATCGAATTCAATTAAAAAACATATAGTATTTCTCGCACATAGTTATTCAAATGAAATTGTAATGGAAAATCTACCCAAATCTTTTTCGACAAATTGTAGCGAATTGGAATCTAGAAAAGGCATGATAATTCTGGATATATTTTTCTCATTATATTTTCCCTTTTTTAAATATATATCAAGTTTATTTCAAATTATAAGCCCTTTGTAGCTGCCATAGCTTAAATCGGTGCAAAATAAACAGTCATAACAGATAATCAAAACAGATATTTCAATTAGAGATTGATCAAAGCCGATTGATTCTATTATATAGTATGTCTGGCTTCGGAAAGGTCGGTGAAATAAGAGAAGCATTTTGTACACTCACCTGGGCGATATGGGGTTGCTGGAGCGATACGAGCCCGGCTCAAGTGCACCAGCAGAGCCGGATCCGGGCAAACGAGGCTGCAAGTTGTGCAATTGTATGTCTCCCGGGCTAACGGCCATTGCTCCCCCTCCTCCGCCGACGCCATTGGATGTCTCGTCGGCTGTGGTGTTGCCTCCGCAGGCAGCCTGCTGCGCATTGGCACAACCCGTCACAATGACCATGTGCGTCTGACGTCGTAGTATGGGCATTGGCAGCGGCAGCTCACCGTGTGCCGCTCGTGCCGTCAGCGACAAGGCGCACAGCTTTCGGCGTACCCCATAATGATTAAGCAGGACTCCAACGCCGGGCAGCACAAACACCGCAATCGTATGGAATATGATGAAGGACATGAACGTGGCATTGGCGCCCAGATCCGATGTGCAGCTAATGCTAACCGGACTGGGCGTGGCGATACCGCTGTTGCCACCGCCCGCCACGCTGCCACTGAAATTCCCTCCATGGCTGTCCTTGATAATCACGGACTTGGCAATGATCTTGTAGGCGAAGAGAAAGGGTGAACTGATGGCCGCCGATGCCAGCCACGACAGCATGGCCAGGGACACATGCAGGTAGCGACGCTGGCGAAGTTGCGCCAATCGCGGATGCTTCACTGTCGCATACCGATCCAAGGACAGCATGAAGAAGGAAATGGTGCTTGCAGCCACTGGCATTACCTGGAAAACAATTCAAGGAATGCAACTTTTTTTCTTAAAATCGGAATTACGTTTGCATTTTGTCTGTCTATGCTAACGGAAAAAAATGTTTAGTTAACATTGTATTTATTTATATCTAAAACATTTATTTATGTCTCATCAAATCTCCGATTAGAAAAACACCTTAAAGTCAGTTGTAAACGCGATTTTTAACCAAGCAACTAACTAATTTCTACCTTAGCACATCAACGATCTCTCTCAACCTACGATATTCCGAGCGGTTTTATTAAAGCCATAATCGAGTATATCTAATCAATCTTCAACTAAAAATTTTCAATTCACCACTCTGTGATTAATAAGCTTTACTAAAATATTATTTATTTAGAAGCTCATGACACTTATTAGATTTAAAGCTATTGACCAGCTTCGACGTTTTAATTAAGACTAGATTTATACTTAGAAATTATAATAAATTACAAACCAAAAATGAAATGGAAATTATTTTAAGCCGGTTACCGTTAATAAATATTATTGAACCGCAAAACACCGTACCATAGACGAAACATTGAACCGGATATACCGAAACCGGAAATTGAATCGCTTTGATTCCCCATTTTGCTACGTCATTGCTAGAAGGATGATATTTGTAACACAAACGCCAAGATGGCAACGCTGCAACACTATTATGTTAGAAGCTTGAACAGCACTGGCCAGAAACTGCCGTCTCATACAAACAGCAAAATCTCCAATCTCAGCAATCCGGCGGCATATACAATTTTATCATAGGACTTTGCAAAATTAGACGAACAAGTTTTATTCGAACCAACTCAAAATGCCTGTGCTAGCTGTTGTAAGTATTTAAAATGCATTATTTGGTTTATAATTCTCAACTAAAGATCGCCTGTAGATGGACATTGATGTGGACGAGGTGTCTGCGAAGAGCGGCATTGGTTCGTATTATTTGCAGAAAATATCGGAACTGCAATTTATTGTAGCCGAAAAGCATCTGAATCTACGCCGCCTGCAAGCTCAACGCAACGAGCTCAACTCAAAAGGTAGATACGACTTCTTTTTTTGTATTATGCCATGAAACAGACATGCTTTTCAGTACGCTTGCTGCGTGAGGAGCTTCAACTGCTGCAGGAGCAGGGCAGCTACATTGGCGAGGTGGTCAAGCCGATGGACAAGCAGAAGGTGCTCGTGAAGGTGCATCCCGAGGGAAAATATGTTGTTGATGTGGACAAGACCATCGACATCAAAGATGTAACGCCCAACTGCCGCGTAGCATTGCGCAATGAAAGCTACACACTGCACAAAATTCTTCCCAACAAGGTTGATCCACTTGTCTCGCTTATGATGGTGGAAAAGGTGCCCGATTCAACGTATGAAATGGTCGGTGGTCTAGACAAGCAGATCAAAGAGATTAAGGAGGTTATTGAGCTGCCCGTTAAGCATCCGGAGCTGTTTGACGCCCTGGGCATAGCACAGCCAAAGGGCGTGCTTCTCTACGGCCCACCTGGCACTGGGAAAACGCTCTTGGCCCGGGCAGTGGCCCACCACACCGAATGCACCTTCATTCGTGTGTCTGGCTCGGAGCTGGTGCAGAAGTTCATTGGCGAAGGCTCTCGAATGGTACGCGAGCTGTTCGTCATGGCCCGCGAGCATGCGCCTTCAATTATATTCATGGACGAAATCGATTCGATTGGCTCGGCACGCATGGACTCTGGCTCTGGTGCCGATTCTGAGGTGCAGCGCACCATGTTGGAGCTGCTTAATCAGCTCGATGGATTCGAGGCTACCAAAAACATAAAGGTCATCATGGCAACAAATCGCATTGATGTGCTGGATCAAGCACTTCTGCGTCCTGGCCGCATTGACCGCAAAATTGAGTTCCCCCCACCCAACGAAGAGGCGCGTCTGGACATTCTGAAGATACATTCGCGCAAAATGAATCTGACGCGCGGCATAAATCTGCGTAAGATCGCCGAACTCATGCCGGGGGCATCGGGTGCCGAAGTAAAAGGCGTCTGCACCGAGGCAGGAATGTATGCCTTGCGCGAGCGCCGCGTTCATGTCACCCAAGAGGATTTTGAGATGGCTGTGGCCAAGGTTATGCAGAAGGAATCGGAGAAAAATATGTCGATCAAAAAGTTATGGAAGTAAGCTGCTGTTTTGGATCAAATTATTTTTCTCCTATATTTCACAAACAAAATAAATAAACATTGCTCTTAGTCGAGTCGAAAACACTGTGCCATTATAGATTATACACTTGAAAGTTTCAGCTCAAAAAATTTGTGATAAGTCAGAAAGATCATCATTGTCTAGTACAAAACGTACCATTAAGGATCATTTATCTACAGGCCTTAATCACTGATTAAATGTAAGCCATTGCCATGTTTTATAATATCTATATGTATATATATATAGTTTGTCCTGACTGACTGACTGATTGGCAATCAACGCCCAGTCCAGCTCACAGTGAAAGTGAGCACTAGGTTTTGGAAAATTCGAGCTCCAAGTGGGGGAAAACGAGCTCCAACGTTTAAATAAAAACTCTACAATTTTCATCCGATTTACTTCAAACTTAGCTTGTTATTTTATATAATTTGATGTAAGCTATAGAATATTGAAAGAAGAATCAAATAAAGAATTGGTTATTACCTGCACATAGTGTATGACCTTGCAGACCAGCAACGGCAGCGATCTAGTGCCTCGATTCATGGCCAAATTCAGTAGAGTGACCGGCGCTGAAATGCCCGTGACCAGAAGATCGGCAATGCAAACGGCGAGCAGGAGAGGATTGCGCAGACGCACCGACGAGGCAGAGCAAAGGGTCAGCACTAGGGTCGCATTGCCAAGGACGCCGCCGAAGACCACAAGACCGTAGCTGATGGCCATAAGGAGCAGCGTGAACGATGGTATCGCATGCTCCGTATCTGTGCCACCATTTCCAGCATCATAGGGATTTATCAGTGTCAGATTGCCATAGTTGCCGTAGTTATCATATTCGAAATCGTGCGTAGTAGGGTTGCCAATGCCGCCAGCGAGCCCAAAATTGTTATTCTGCTCGAGCAGTGCGTAGTGAAGGTCCAAGGAGTCCAGGTCAATGGCATGTTGTTGTTGTTGCTGATGCTGTTGTTGTTGTTGCTGCTGCTGCTGCTGTTGACGTCGGTATGTATTTTCCCACCATTGTTGCAAGTTATTGCTATTCATTCTACACACGTAACTTTATTCGAAATATTCTCGTCGTCGTCTTCGTGTTCGATGCGTTTGTCTTGCTGCTTCATTTCATACTAAAGGTGCTGCAAATGGCGCAAAAGGTAGAACAAAAATGGTAAAACAAAAATGTAATAAAAGATTGTTTGTTAGCAGAGAAGGTAGTAGTAGTGTAGTAGTAGTTGTAAAGTAACAGATGCCATCACCATCATCATCATCAGTCTTTTGTTTTTAGCAAGGACACACACAAACTGACACCCACTCACTCATTCATACACACACACACACGCACACACCGAAATGACACTGCCACTGACACTTATGCAATGCAGAGGAGCAGCAGCAGCTCGCGCCCACTCAGAGATTAGTGCCTGCGCTTCCTCCTCGTCGACGTTGCGCCATTTTTGCCCCGGCACTATGAATGGCAGCCTTGCACTTTCCGCCCTTGCAATCGCAATCGCTTCTGCCGCCGAGGCGTACCTTTTGCCCCACACCGCACAATGGCGCAAATTTGAAAGACACATAACAAACATGTTTCGAAACTAGACTAAAAAGAAGCCTACATCCGATTTAGGAAAAGCTTAAGACAGCTGAACGTCGATCTGATGTTCATAAAACACGTAGATAGTTTAAAATAAAAAAATACCATCACAATTTAAGTTTCTTTCGCAATATATTACATTCAAAATATAATTATGAGCATTATATATAAATTGTTTCTTTAAAGGTTTCAAATTGATAATCATTAATTATAAAAATCTCTTGTCCATAACATTTTAAAGTCTTTCGAACTTCTTTTGAAATCCATATTTTTGAGTAAAATAAATAATTTCATAATTATAAAATTAACACCAAATTACATTTCAATATAAAATAAAATCATACTTGTGCATTTTATAGCTAACGATTCATATTATTTCTTTTATAAATAGACTATAGAAATTATATGCATATGATAATTTAAATTATTGCTTTTATAAATAGACTATAGAAATGATATGCACATAAGAATTTAAAGCAGCTTTACGGATAATACAAAACTAAGCCAAAAACTAAACTTAAAGCAAAATTGAAACAAATTTTTCCATTGAAAGCATGCTTGATAGTGTTTTATAATTTGCTCGACTATTAACGTCTCTTTGCCACAATCAAGCTACATTTCTAGTTTAATGACATAAAGGCTGTGACTATTTGCAGCCCACTGTATGCTGCTATATTAACGGTAGCAAGGTTTGCTGTTTCAGCTCTGCTGACGTTTAAGGCGGATCAAGGAAGTGTGCGGGGCACGTGCATTATGAATGTCGACTTAATTGCGCGTTTAAGTGCACTGCTGTGGTTGAGTGGCGCGGTCGGTGGCGTCCGCGGCCGTGGTATTTAAAGCCTGGAAAAATGTAATTGACGTTGCAACCAAATACTTTGCGCTAGGCTATTAAAAACTTTAATTGAAATTTGTTTTAAAGACGGGCGCGCCTTCTGTAGAGCTGTGCAATCAACTTCTCAATGAGCTGACAAGAGAGGGACATTCATGAAGCTTAACATTTTTTAATAAGTTTGTACTGAACGACCTTGACCACGTTAAATAAACGTTTCTTTTCCTCGCTGCAAAAATACGTCGATGCTGTCCACAATTGGAAAGCTACACGAACTTAACTTTATTCATTTATAATTCCTTACCTTTATTTTAAATGTATATATTTGATCAATTTCTCTACCTCTATTTTAAATTTAAACATTCTTTCTTTTTTTATATTTTTTTGTTTGTATATATGTTTCTTTTTGCAAAATGTGCATATTTATAGGTTTTCTAAATGTATGTAATATTCATAAATATTTACAATTACTGTATCTGCCATTTTCCGCTGAAAAGTAGGCAACACTTTTTATTAGAGTTTTCCTTACGTAAAGAAGCAGAATAGTAATTGATATAGAGAACTAGAAAAAGCTATCAGATCGGATAATACTAATTGTATAATAATAAAATTTTGTATATATTGTAATAAAATAATAATAGATGAATAAAATGTCCCAATTATGTTTATAAAACTTCCTGTAATAGACAAACCAACAAGCTTATTACATTAATCTTTAAAAAATAGTAGACTAGTATATAAGCTAAGTAAATTCCACTATTTGTTGTCATTTTAATTGCTTAACCACTTATCTGCAGTTGCATTGTGTTTAGAAATAAAAGAAGAACTGGACACCCCTAATGCCTGGCTCTTTATGCTGCAAATGATTTAAAAGCAACCCATGTTCCCATTTACTCCTGTGTTCGAGTTTCTGTGTAAAAGCTTTGGCAGACAGCGCGTTTTGTGTGTCCTTTTTCCTATTGTTTAATTGTGTGTCGTGTGAATGTGCGTCTGTGCGTGTGTGTGGGTGTGAGGTTCGATGTTTGGCAGCAGCCGCCGCCGCTGTGTATCAATTTTGTTTGGGTTGCCGTGGCGCTGTTGCTGCTGCTGCTGCTCCTCTTGCCATTGTCCTGCGCATTTTGCATGGTGAGCGTAGGTGAGTACATACTATACATATGTACATACTATGTAGAGTATATGCATGTATGTGTGATGGTGAGTGTGAGGGTCGCTGTGCGCATTGGCGTGTGATGTCAACGCTTTTGCTATTTGCTGTGGTTTTTCTGCTCATTTGTGGGGCTGATGATGTGACTGGCGTTAGCTCGTTGCTTAATCTGCTTAATTTGCGTTAATTTAATCCTAGCTGAGCACACGCTCCCACACACACACAATTACATACATACATGTGCAGTTGTGTTTGCATGCATTAATTCGCAGAAAGTCAAAGCAAGCGACTTGGCCTTTGTGTACATACACTTATGTTGGCCATTATTCTATTTGGTCTGCGCGTATGTGTGTGCTTGGCTTTTATTTTTAGTCGCATAGCCGTTGCCATCGCAATGCCAATAACCTGTTGAGTTCTCTAGTTTGTTGCTGTTTCTGCACGCTACACCAAATACCGTTACTTTGCAATTTTGCACACACACACATACACAAGAAAGGACACAGCGACGAAGGCTTTGGTGGCAGGCCATTGCTCTGGCCCTGTTCAGTTGTTCGGTTTCATTGCGTGGGCGTTTGATTTACTTATTGAAAATGAAATTTGTGTATTAATCTGCGTCATCGTCTTTCCGAACGTCAGCAACGAGCACAAAAGGTGACAAAAGCAGCTTCAGCAAGAATAAGAAGAAAATGAAGACGCATCAGCAGGTGGCGAAGCAGCAAGAGGAGCGGACAACAAAGGACAAAGCCAATAAGATACGCATAGTGTTGTGAATGATTCGTGAGCGGGTTAAGGAGTTAACTGGTTCAATCACGCCAGCTTCACTTCATAGAAAGGAATCCTAGGGGCCATGGTGGTGCGTGAAGTTGGGATTCTAACAACAAAGACGCCAGATAAACAAACAACACAGAAGATTGAAGACCAGATAGTTAGATCCTCTCCAAGAGTTGTGTATGATAATAAAGTGGAGTGTTAAAACAATATCATGCCCAGAGTTTCTCCTTGAGATGAGCAAGCAGCGAAGTTAAAAGTTATTAATATTCCTATAATTATTGTAATTGTTATTGTAAGTAGTATTTGTTATTATTTCGTACTATCATGATTATTATTATCCATGTTATTATGATGGTATCGTATTCACGCGCACACCTCTAGTGCACACCTGTAAAAAAAAGGAAACACCTTCGCAGTGGGAAATGTAATAAAGATTTACGTCGTTATAGTGGTAGTTGCTGTTGTTGTTATCGCTATTAATATGAAAAGTGTCAGCCACAGGTGAGTTAATAACAAGGCGCACACGCACACAAGTACTACACAAACAGACAATCACACACACAGCAGGATACACACGACAAAAGATACTTTGTCGTGCGGTCGGTCAAAGCTGCTGTCGTCCTGCTGCTGCTTTGTTTGTCATTATTGATTTGGCAGCCCATACATACAAACATATATGTACAGGGTATACCTATCTATGTAAGTGTGTGTGTGTGTGTGTATATAACGTCAGGGTGACCGAAATTTGTAGGGCTAATAATATGCCTTTCTTCAAAATAAAATAACATGATTATTAGGGTGAAATTCTTTAAAATCAAGCTATGACTTTGATTTTCAAAATGAATATGTATTAGTGTTGTATTTAAAAACTTAAATCCGGCCTTAAACATTCGGTGGTTTGTCAAAATTCACTTTGAAGCTGTTCGTTCATATGATAGTTTTTTAATTTAGCCAACCGATTAGCCTCAATCTCCTTATCTCAATATAGATAGAGCTTTATAATATTTTATAAGTTAGAAATACCGAGTGTTTTGGATTAGCTTTTAATTTTTAAAGATGTCTCATTACAATTTTAAGTTCTCCACAAATAAATCCCTAAAATAATGATCAATCGAGGCAAGAAATAAAAATACATTAATTTTTTATTAATCGCATAATCTTTTCTTCATTTAAATGAACCATTAATTGCTAATTTGCTTTCAAGATAAGCCTAAATTAAATATCTCAACAATTCGTAAGTCAAATTAATATATTTAATAGTTTTTTAATATTTATTGTCAGAAATACTCATTAGTTTTCGGTGCACCCAGAAAAAACAGCTCAATTATATAGATTTAAAATATTGAATGGTATGGTCACCCTGTTCGGTATGTGTCCAAACGTTCGTTTGAAACGCCCGCTATTTCGTTTTCGTGCTGTTACAATGGCAAACAAACAAGTTTTTGTGTGTACGGTACTCTGTGTGTGTGTGTGGGTGTGTGCGTGTATATGTCTGTTTGTGTGTGTCTTGTCTTCGCTCAGCTTAAAGCCAAAAAAGCGAACCTTTTTCGGCAACGCCACACTTTTAGGGTCGTCGTCATCATCATCGTGTAAGCCAAGAGCCCAACAGTCAGTTTTGCAATTTTCTTCTTGGTTCCTTCCTTGGCACGTTCGAAGAGCGAACAATGCAAAAATGTGTGTGTGGGAGGGAGAATTGTATATTTTTTTCCTTTGAAAAACAAAGCCCAACAGACACGCACACACACACACATACATAGAGAGATAAACGAACACACTCTCAAGCAGAAATCACTTTGCTTTTTGTATTAAAAAAACAAACACAACAACGACGCCATAATTACTAACCATGAAATGCGTGGCGTGGCAAATACGAAAGAAAAAAACGCTGCATACCAATTAGTGTAACATCATAAGGCGGCAACGGAAAAGCGACACCACCAACCAACACACACACACACACACCCACATACTGACTACCTCTAAACACCCCACAATACATAAATACATGCGTATACGTAATAGCGTACCGTTATGTTGTTGCGCGCAGTAAAAGATTGTTGCCGAAAAAATTAAACAAAAACTAATAAAAATATTGCTGGTTTATGTGGTGGAGTGTTGTTGTATTAGTAATAGCGACTGTTTTTGTTTATGTTGATTACTTTTTTAAAGGCACTGTTAGAACTATTTTTGTTATTGCTGCTGTAGGCGCGCCGTTGGTTTCTTTTTTTTGTCGTTTTATATCAAATACACTTTTAGCAAATTTTCATTTTTTTTTTGTTGATTTTTTTTGTTGGTAATACTTTATAAAATTGTTTAAAAAAATGACGCTGTCTGATTTTTTGTTGTGTTGGTTGTTTTTGTAGTTGTTGGATGTGCTTATAAATTTTGTTTGTTTGTTGCTAATTTGCTACTCAAATTAAATAAAAATGATGAACTGAAAAGTGTTTTGTGGGAAAAAAATAAAACTGAAACTTGATGTGCCAAAATTGTCTTCGAACGGCGCACATTACACGAAAGGACTACGGCGGAAGACTGAGACTGCCGCTTATTTTGTGTGTGTGTCGATGAGATTTCTCAAGCAGAGAGTTTGGAGTCAAAAGTCCTACGGAGAGCAGGAACGACAAAATTGAGAGCCGAGTGCCGAATTACAACAACAATAAAATGGACGCAAAGAAGCTTTGAGTGGGAGCAAAGCTTTTTCGCTTGACTTTCACTTTCATTCACATTTGCCTTTTTTTTTAGGGGCCAACACAGTGTGTATTGAGGCCGCGAACAGACATGAACTCTATATGTATTTTAGTTACCAAAAAATAGCATTTGGACCAAAAGCAAAGCAGCTTCATTGGATTTCAACTCTAACAATTAACACAATATAATCACAATTGATTTATGTGAATCGAATCGATTTGAACCCTAAACTTACACATTTCTCATTAAATAGGAGGTATTATATTTTACGTCGATTTTAAATAACCAACCTTGGTAAAAACATTTCCAATGTTTATCTTTAACAATTACCAGTAGCATACTTTTAGGTTCCACTTTTCGGTTTAGATGCCTATGCTAGTTTTGTAATAATTAACCAAAAAGCAAGTATAGCAGAATTTAGACATCCAACTCCCAATATTCAAACTACTTTTGATGTCAATTACTGAAACGCTTCTCTTTTAAAACTGAAGAACGGAATAATGGAAGCAATGAATCATTAATTTATATGGCATCTTCAATAAGAAGAACCAGTATCGTTTCTATATTATACGGAATTATTTCATAAGGGTGATCAAAGAACAAAAACGTATCAATATTTCCCATAATTATGATAAGAAATAAGTATTTCTGATCAACATAATACCAAAAAAAAATCTAATTACAGCCCATATAAAGCTAACCAACCGCTTTTCCTCAATTCCTGAATAATTAGAGACAAATATGTATTATTTTAAATACATACTAACATGAGTTTATTTAAATATTTTTGTTTATGATTAAAATGCATGATTCTTTTAGTTGCAACTCTTGCGCTTTTTTCTGGTATACTTTTTCGACTTACATATACATGCATTTAAATACATGCTATAGGATTGTGTTATATTGTGTTGAAAAAAATACTGTGTAAGTTCTGGGACTTAGAACTAAAACGGTATGTATCGATCAAATATAATGGAATCATGAACAAATTTAAGCCTAAATGGGCGGGCATAAAGATACAGCAATAAATAGAAGTGACCGAATTTACAATAAATAGAACATTAAATTATTACAAATATTAAAAGTATTCAAAATCATCAATGCACAATAGTGCATATGATAATCTCATGTGCATATTTAAGATATAGTTTAGTGTGTTTTTAAATTAGCATTCGGGGGTGGGTTGGCTGAGTACGACCCATTAACCTATAGCGTAGATTTTAGTAATCTTTTGCTTTTGCAGTAAGTAGCAGCGACGTTTCGTTGATCAGTTCAAGATTTTTTTAGTTGTACACTCTAACTGTAGTTATAGTAAATATATATAGAGCAGTATTGTTTTTTGTTGTTGTTGGCAGCGGTATACGTTATGTACTGTTATTGTTACTGTTTTTTGTTGCATTCAATTGCTTTCGGTTTTTTGTTTTCCAATTCTAATCATCAATAGTATATTCGGGCATTTTGTCATATTTCTGCTTGGTGGCCTCATGCGACGTATCCACAATTAAAGCAGTATGCGAATAGCCCATAGCTACCTGAGGTATTTTAACATTATCCATTTTGGGCACCTCTTTGGGCACCGTCGAAGATTTCTGAAATTCACCAATGCCTAGCTCACCGAATGTGGGTGAAGCTCCCCAAGCAATAAGCGTATCATCAGCCGAAATCATAATGGAAGTATTGGCACAGCCAATGGCAGTAATATTCCAGCCTGGAAAGGTAGTAAGACAATATAAAATTATGTATTCACAGTTGCTTTGCTGCCGAAAACTTGCTCTAAGTCCATATTGTCGATTTGAAATGTGCTTTTTAAGCATGTTTTATGAAAGGACTCAATTATTGGTAATGAAAAATATGTTGTATTGGATAGGATAGATATTTCCCCTTTTATGAATACGCAATGAAATTTTAAACTTTTAGTTTACTCACCAGCTAAATCTTGGACAGGCTTGGGGTACATATTCGCCTCGCCTGTTTTTTTATTTTGTCCAAATAGAAATAGCACACCCAGTTCATTAACAATCAAACTGAATGTAGAACCACAAAAGACGCTACGTGCCCCACGGCCTTGAGCATCGAAAAATTTCATTAAACGCGGCACCATTTCATCCTTGGGCTCGGCGTGTCCCAAACGGCCAAAACCGCCAAAGCCCCAGCTGTAGACGCGCTTCTTGGAATCAATGGCCACCTATAGAAAATATTTAATTGGATGCATTTATATTATCAGTTCTTGGGGTGTTGTTCGGCCAATATTTGTACCGTATGATTGTTGCCGCAAGCAAAATCCACGATCTGCACACCATCGACGGGGGTAACATGACCCTCCTTGCTCTTTTCAATGTACAGCACGACCTTTTTAGGCGATGTCTCGAAGTGGAATGACAATTTGTTAGCATTTACGAAGTACTTGGCGTCTGTATTGTGACCCAATTGGCCATATTCGGGCAAGCCAAATGTATGCAAGTTTCCCTTAATGTCCAGAATGACGGAGAATTCGGCGCCGCAACCAATACGTATGATCGGTGCACCACGATAGTTGATGGGCGTCGGTGTGGTAATATTGGCATGTGTATTACCTACACCACATTGCCCTGATTTATTCTCGCCACAGGCGTAGACGGTGCCTGTATCGGTGAGAAAGAGTGTGTGATGACGCCCAACGGCGGCTTGCACAATATTAACCTGGTCGAGAGCTGTAATGAGAGTGGGTTTCTCGCACAGCTTGACGTCGGGACCTAAGCCCAATTGGCCGCTCGGATTGCGTCCAAAGCCCAACGCCTTGCGGTCCATGTTAACAAGTATAGTATGCGCGGCGGCTGGACCGCTAGCCACGTGACGATACTGAAAAATTAAGCGTAATAATGTAATTTAATTATGATCAAACTACATAGTAGAATATACACGTACCTTCTCATCCGTAAAGCGGTGGAAGCTGTACAGATTAGGACGCACTTTGGAGACATTCTTCCGATCCCGCTTGCCGGTTAAATCCCAAGTCACCATACCGGCCACCAGCAATTGCCCGGGCGTCTTGTCCAACGTAGCCAGCAAGTCTTCAGGCAGCTTACTCGGCGGATCCAACTCATCGTGCGCAATGAGCACTTCCATTTGGTTGCCAGATTGTTGCAGCTGCTGCGGCACATCCTCATCGGATTCATCGCTGAAGTCATCTTCGTAGTCCGATTCCTTCTTCTTGGGGCGACGCTTGTTGGGTCCGGCGCCGTTACCACCTGCCTTGCGCTTAGCCGACATTTTCAATTAGCAACAATAAAAGTCTGCGCGCACACACAATAGCTGTAAAAAAGAAGCGGAGATGAGAACCAGAATTTGTACGCAGCAGAGCGTGACCGTCCCAACAACAAAGAAGCGCGCTCTCACGCGCTGCATTGTAATAGTGTGTGTATGTGTGTGGTGGTTTTGCAAGCAGGAAAAACAAAATGAACGCCAACATAAAGCCGCAGCGCTGCCGACGCCGACTGCGTAAACTTTTTGTGCAATAAACTATCAAAATTGAACAATATTAGCACGTTAAGTGTACCGAATATACAACTAATAATGCAGCTCGTAAGACTGTATGACTGGTAACGGTTTTTTATAGAAAGACCGCTTTTAGAACGTCTCTGAAATATTAGCGTCACTTTACAAGAGCAGCGACGTTGGTCGCCGCCGCATTTTGAACAGTCAGCAGTTTTCTAAAATTATTTATGTCTCCTACAGCTATATTTTCTCAACAATAGATAAACACTGTTTGTTGTGGGTAATTTAAATTAACTTGTTGCTAAACTTACATTTTGTTATCAACTTTCAATAAGCCGTCCTCAGCGCAGCAAAATGGCAAACAACAAACACACGCTAGAGTCTCGCACTCTCCGATAGGCAATGCGCGGTTCGATAGTAAATCGACCTATAAAAATATCGTCATTGTCTTTTTTTGGGGTTTGGGCACCATTCAGTGCAAAAAATGCGATAGTCGATTCTCAAACAAAACGATTGTTGCAAACATGTTAAAAATCGATTAAAGCAATTCAGAATCGTTTCTTTTTACAGCTCTAACGTGTACACAACAATCTCTGTTTGACAAAAAGAAAAACAATCAAATTTGGATTAATGTATTCTTGAAAAATGGACGAAGGCGACGAAAGTACCACGCATTATTACTTGGAATGTGATAACAACGTCGAGGAATGGCACTGGAATGCAAAGAGCACAAAGCTCCTCGTTGAGCTGTATTTGGAACGACGAGACCGGTGAGTGAAATAATTCACATAATGTTATGAACATTGACTATTTACAACAACAGGTTTCGTGATCCAAAACACCGTAAGCGTGTCCTCTGGACAGAAATTGTTGATGAAATGGAGAGAGCAGGCTACAAAGGAATAAACGAGGATTTATGCGATCGCAAGATGCGTAACATGAAGAAGACATACCGCACCTGCAAAGAGTCTATGCGACGGACTGGTCGGAAACGAGTGTCATGGGAGCACTATGAAACGTTTGATGAACTGTTCCAACATGAACCACAGTCCACATCAAAGCCAGAAGCCACTGCTCTTGCAGAGGAGCCCACTATAAAATGTAAAACATGTCCAACACAACTGGATCCCAATGGAGACATGTTCGTACCGAATGCACTAAATGGACAGCTGCTCGTTATTGAGCGCAGTAGAGTGGCGGCAATCAAAGAATTAAGCAAGCGTATTGAGGAATCAAACGCCATTCAGAGAGAACGGAACGACCTTCTACGCGAGTACTTGGCACAATTATAATACAAGTAAAATAGGTTTATTGTTATTATTATTTTATAGTGTTGACTTAAAATTAAACAATATTAGGCAACATGTTGGTAGCCATAAATTCTAGGGTCAGTTGTTAATGATCGCTAAATCTATTGACTACGTAGAAAACCTGCCACCAAAGATTCTCGCTTTTTTTCTGCCGCTAATGTGTGCTCCCAGTACTGCTGCCCATTCTCCTCAAAAACCATATTGATTTGACTTTTCGGCATTGCTTCAAAATCTACAGTTATGTCCTCAAGGGGCTCGCCACAGTCTAGTATAAAGTTGTGCAACATACAAGCGGCCGAAACTACGACGCAGGCCAAATCTAGAGTTGTAATGTCCAAGGACTGGAGGCGTTGAAAACGTGATAGCAGTGATGCAAATGCACGTTCCACAGGCGCATTCCATAAATGTACGGCCAGATTGTAGCTCATGTGGCAAGGCGTCAAATCGCCGTAGTCCGGAAACGGTGTCATTAGATTTAGCAGCAGAGGGTAACTCATCTCGCCCACCAAATGCTGTTGCTCTGACATTAATGGCTGGTCCTGGTCTGTGTCAATAAGTCGCTCAAACAGCGGACTTTTCATCAATATGCATTGCAAATCATTGGGTACATCAATATGCACGTCCAAAAATCGACTGCGCGCATCAGAAACTACTTGCAAGGCTAACGCATGACATTGTCGCTCACTAGTATTGGCAACACGTATCGGCAACTTAAGCGGAATACGAAACTCCTCAATAACGCCTACCACGTTAGGCAAACTGCTAATGCCATTTGTGCTATTTGTGAATATGGGCCATTTTATGTAGTTTGGCAAAAGCGTATTAAAAATACTCACAACCCATTTAAAAATTTCATATCCCGAACTTTTAGGTATTGCAAAGATTTCGCCAACTTCACGAAATGAGACTTTGCCGCTAAGCAATCTGAGCGTGTAAAGAAGCTTTTCAGGCAAACTCACATGGGAAATGGGCTCATTACTTCCAGCTACTGCCTTTCCTGTGGCTTGCAGCAACACCTGTAGGACTAAGCATAAGTTTATCGCGTTTATTAATTTTGTTAGTTTTCTTCGTACCTGAAATGTGCTGCGCTGCATGCGAAATTGTTCCTTAAATTGGTCATCTTGGTTTCTAAGCATCGGAACAGGAATATCTTTTGTAACACATTCAAAGTCAGTTCCATTTACATCTTCGTGCTGTGCTGCATCTGCGCGACGCTCCAATAAACTTTTGGTGATACCCAATTGCGATGCTTCAGCCAGAAGATTCGGCTCCAATCCCTCGTCGAGAAAAAAGCTTAGCACAAAAGCCTGTCCCGTGTCCATTTCATGATTAGTTCTTCCTTCTTTGTAAATAAACAAAAGTGTGTGCACACTTCGACGCTGGTAAAAAAATTGGCAAAGCGTTGCCAGTCTTCATTCGAATTTTTCTGCAACTGATTTTGATGTGCTGTAGATAATGACAAGTTCAAAACAGTTTAAACTTTCGAAACGAAGGAAGGACGCCAATCGCCAGCCTAACAATAAAAATTAAAGCCAACCCAATTGCTTTTATGAAGTGAACTTATTTTGCTGAATTTGATTTGTACGAAAATCAAACACACATATTTCAATTAAGAAATCAAGGCATAAATGTAAAAATGTAAGTATGTATATTGAACATAAATAGATATAATTAACAATGTTTAGGATCTCAATTTAGCACAAAGTTTATAATAATACAGTGTATTGGCATCTTACATATGTATGTTTGTTTCTGTTTTTGTAAATTTTCGTGCCTCTCCTCCTTGGCCATCATATGTCCACAAGTGGCTTAAGGCGCGCACGGTAATCGTTGATATCACGCATAACAATCTGATTAAAAAAAGCATGCCTCTCCTTAAACGCCGCCATGGCTTTAGCCCGTCTCTGCTCCTGCAGCATTTTGTTATCTTTGCCACTATTGTTGTTGTTACTGCGTGGTAATACTGTTGGCGCTATAGGCGTGACAGCCGCTGCTGGAACGAAGAATTCACTGCGTCGGCCTGCATCAGTGCGCGAACAATTTGTGTTGTTGTTGTTGCCATTGTCTACAACATCCAAGATTTTATAGCCATGTGTTGGAAAAATACAACAGATTTTTGCAATAAATTCAGTAACAGACATTTTTAGAATTTTTCTTAAAACGAGACAAGATTTGAACTAGCAAACGTTTAATAATGAAAAGCAAGCTTTGATGTCAATGTATTCGCGCTTATCTATTATTCTGAACTGCTCTCTTTGTAACGGTACACCAACCAAGGTGACCCGTCAGCTTTGATAGCTTAAGCACAGTGGTTTGGATTTTCACTTTGATTAAATCAATTTCTGGGTGGTCTATAAAATCAGTGTTATAATGTTATAAACATAAGAAATCTGCAGAGGTTAGTTAAAACATAGAACTCATTTAAAATTTGTAATTTAGAATGCATTAAAGAAGTACATTCGGAAGCGTTAATCAGGTTTACACAACAATGAAACTTACAGTGACTTTGCAAAGAATATGGTAAGCTATATGATATCGTAGATTTACATTCAGGCCACTTATTACGAAGCAGGAAACTGCCGCCAATATTTGCGGAATGATTACTATATGCTACACTTACCTAGTGTCAAACTTTGACCAAAATGCTCCACTGAAAATGCCATTGATGGCAAAGCAACGCCAGTTTTTCCGTTTGACTTAGCATCGGGGGGCAGTGGTGGCGCACGACGATCAAAAGGATTTTGTCGTCTAGGAGGCGGATTAGGCCTCGCATTTGGGGTAGCGCTAACAGCACGGTTTTTCGATTCTTCTAGTTCGTTCAGCTTGCGCTGCAAGTTTTCAAGAATTGCGCGTCTATACTCGTAACCGGCGCATGTTAGAGCCTTCATCCATGCCTCCATGCTCTCCTGCGTGTCGGTTGCCAATACGTAGGTACGATTACCATTGAATGCAATTTCAAAACAATAACTCTCCACATCCTCTGTTAATTCTATGGTACAGCCTTCGACAATGATTAGGCCCAGTGGCTCCTTATCGTATTGCGTCTCAAAATAGAATAGAAGGTTACCTTTCAGCACAAAGTACCGTTTCTGAAATGCTCGGTTGCCCTCGCCCCGTTTTCTTAGAAAACCATCCATATCATACGGCGGCTTTTTCGCAAAAACGCACAAATTCTTCTCGTTGATCTTCATGGCTCGGTTTTGATGAGATACACGCAGGTCGACCTCATAAATTGCTTTATCTTTAGTGCATATTTACGATTATATTATTGCAGGTATTAAAAAACATCTAAATTGTGCAGGTAACAAGAATGACGCCTGCAGTAGAAACAGCTGTTAGCTGCCAGTGTTGCCAAAATAATTCTTCAAACGAAATAAGCTGAACTGAGACGGTGCCATTACGGATAATTTGTGAAAATTAATAAAATACATACAAACATTTAACAATCTGAGCATTCAGAATGTCGTACTTACTCACAGAAATAGCTCTCGAAATGCTGGGCTACAAATTCTATGATACGAACGGCACATTCCATTTGACGAATTTTCAACAATCGACGCCATCCTCATCAAATGATAAAGATTTGGATGAGCCTCCCCTATCCGAATTCATTGATCAGCCGGCTTCTACAACTATCCAGAATGGTGACGCCAGCAATGACCAAGAGGTTCCGACAACGAGTAGTTCCCACAACGATAGTCAAGCAGCAAAGCCGGCAGAAAATTTAGAATCTAAGGTACGCCGTACGCCCGCCAAAGCTCTGGCCAAGATCAAGAGCTACGAAAGCGACAAAATAAAAGTACAAATTAAAGCAAGAGTACAAAAGTCAATAGACGAACAGAAGACTAAACCAAATGAGCAGGAATTGCAAAAATTTCTGGACGATGAGAAAATGAAAGTGATGGAGGATGCGGCCACAATGCGACATTTTCGCGAGTACCTCGAAGATCGGCTGCAACGTATGGACTCGCGTTTGTTCGAAAAATATCAGCGGACGTTTCGAAAGGATTAGAGTTAAGATTCCAGCAGTTCAGTTATAATAATTGCTTAGTTTTATTTACATTGTAAACAATATTCGATAAAAAACAAGTGTTACCCCAATTAGTTTAAATAAATCCAATCGTCGCTAACATTGTGGTCGATTTCAACAAAAAGGGCATTTCTGTCATCACTACTCAGTGCACAACACATGATTGAAGGTCGTAGAAACTTATCAAAATTGTTCATTTTTTTTAATAGTTTCTCAAAATTTCCCCCGTATAACGCTTGTAATCTGTTCTCTTTAATTTTCTGCTTACGTTGCTCACGTGCTTACGTCGTTGCAAACAGGCTGCTAGCCGAGCGCTTGACTGCAAAAAACGGAAAAAGGCCCCCCTGAAATTGACGGACAACGACGCTTGCATAATGAAAATCTGGACGTCGGAGCACATCTTCAATCACCCGTGGGAGACTGTCACACAGGCTGCATGGCGAAAATATCCAAATCCGATGACACCGTCAATTATTGGCACCGACGTGGTCGAGCGCAAAGTTGTTGACGGTGTGCTACACACACATCGTTTGGTGCAATCAAAATGGTATTTTCCGAAATGGACCCATGCGCTGATAGGCACAGCCAAGACATGTTTTGCCAGTGAGCGCTCAACTGTGGATCCGGAGCGTAAACAGATGGTCCTGAAGACAAATAATCTCACATTCTGTCGGAACATCAGTGTCGATGAGGTGCTCTATTATGAACCACATCCCACGGATGCAGGCAAAACGCTGCTGAAGCAAGAGGCCACTGTGACTGTCTACGGCGTGCCACTCTCACACTACATGGAAGATATTCTGACATCGACAATAAGTACGAATGCGGGAAAAGGTCGGCAAGGGCTAGAATGGGTCATTGGACGCATCAATACAGAGGTCAAGGGCATAGCCGAGTCAGCGGCGCGTGGCACAGATGAGTTAATACATAATACGCGGCGGTCCATAGATGAGGTGACTGAAAGTGCGCGCAAAGGAATGGATGAGATTAGTGTGCAGGCGGTCAAGGCGGCGAAAGCAATGCACATAACATAGAATCGAGCCGAGAGGCGATTGTCGAGTGGGCGCGAGAGCCGTGGAGTAGTAAATTATTATATACAAAGAACGGACAGCGTCTGGTGCGCTGCTTCTGTAGTACGAACACTTCGACAACTACAGCAACAACAACTAATTGTAATATTCTCTTGCTTTTTCGTTACATACATATATATTTTTTTTGAATAAGCATTTCAGGTTTAACTGATAATGATTTCGCGAGAGGGCGCAAAGCACGTACAATTTTGATTAGATACATTTTGAATCCGTGGTACCGCTAGCCAAGCAACGGTCATATAACGTTTTATTTTTAATAATACATAAAGCAAAAAGTCAAACGTTTGTAAAATACCAACTATTCGAAAAAAAAACGAAAATAAATTAACATAACACCTATGCAAAAACTAACCAAGTACAAATTGTTTTAATTGAAAATTCTCATTGTTTTGCGTATTTGGCAGATGCGTCAATTGACACCGAACTATGTTCATATATTTTTAAAAGAACTAAAATAAAATTGCAATACCAAACAAATATTGTATATGCATATAGTATATAAACACACTATGCACACGTGCTGTCTCATTCTTGCGTAATTGTTAAACCGTTTTAAACTATATACACTCGGATGTATCTGTGGGTGTATATATACAAGCATTGTCAATGACGTTGCCATGATGTCGGCGTCTGTATCGATTTTGTATCTGTTGCTATACGGCAGCAGCAAACATACGTCACGGAATAAACTGCGGAGCGGAAGAAGCAACGAGAGAGAAAAATGCATTGAGAGATGTTTGGCCTTGCAAGCGGTCAGGCTATAATCAGTGTTGCCAACTAAGCCACTTTATGGCAGTTGTAGATTTGTTTAAATTGTAAATTGGAAGTTCAAGTGTTTTTTCGTTAAACACTGGAACAAAATGACCAAAGATAAGCATGTTGAAACATGTAACTATATTAATATTAACTCTAATTGAAATTCATTGAGACACCGTATTTGCTTATCTACTTCTTTTAACTAATTTTTGCTAGATCTAGCGTTTTTGACGCTGAAGAATTGGCAGCACTGGCATAGTTGTTGCTGTTATCTTTATCAATGTGCGAGCTTTTTAGCTGTCGACTGCCCAATTGGAATTTTAATGAAAGAAATATTTATCGTTATGCTTTGTAACTACTTAAATACAATATATTTAGACCGACTATATTACTGTTTACCCAGGACAATTTGATTAAAAATAACAATATTATTTTGATTTTGTTATATTTGTTTGCTTACTGGTTTTTATGAAAAGTTTTTCATAAAGTTAAAAAAAAACAGTCTATGATAACCCCTCTAACATGAAAAGCATCAATGAAAATAATACATTCAGAACCGTTGAACTGGAATATTTTTAGCTTTTGCCTTTTTAATTTAAATTTGTATTAGTGTGTGAGCTTTTTAGTGTCTGGTAGCCCACTTGGAAATGAAGTGTGGCCAGCATAGAGAGAACGCTGAGTCTTCCGTCCCCCCAGAAAGCGTGAGTCTGCAGCGCACGTGCGCGCGGTTTATTTATTGTGCTAAACTTTTGGGCAAGTAATTCCAATTGTTTGTAATTTAATTTAATTTGTAAATATGTTGATGACTTTTGCTTATCAGTTTGGCAAATGTACGAAAACAAAAAGCAATTGTGACGCCACTGCCGACATAAACATCAGCTTCGAATGCAATTGCATTTCGTAATCTGAAACGGTGCGGCGACTTGTGGTGCGATCTAGTAGTGTTGATAACCCCCAGCGAAGGCCTCCCCCCACCCATGTAAAGACGAGACGGCTCGCCCCAGTTGTCAACGGCTCAGCTTTCAGTCTTGCTTCGAAGCGCAACGCAAACAGTTGTGCAAATCCTGTCAATCAACTTCAACTAAACCACTTGAATTTTGCAGTCTGAGCCGCAATGGTCATCCTACGCTTGTACGATGTCACAGCCCACGATGCTGCGGAGCAGCAGGCCGTGTTGAGGCGCCTTCAAGACGCTGACAAACTCTCGGAGCTGTTGTCTGTCCGCATGGAACGCTGCTATCACTTGGAATATGATCGCTATGAGCAGCGCAGTATGCCATTGGAGACACTGCTAAAGTGGCTGGTCAAGCAGCCCATGTCGCATGGCGACGAATTAAAGGATTGCCCATCGTTGCAGGCAAAACAGAAGACAGAATTGCTGCTGGAGATCGGACCACGCTTCAATTTCAGCACACCTTATTCCACCAATTGTGTGAACATATTTCATAATCTCGGCTACAAGGAAGTGCAGCGCATGGAGTGCTCCACGCGCTATTTGCTGACCTTCAAACAGGCAGCGAATCAAGGTAATGTGGCCATCTATGTGGAATTGCTGGGCGATCGCATGACTCAATGTCAGTACACGGCGACTAATATCCCCGTGAAGAGCTTTGAGGAGCAGTTGCCCAGGAAACAGCAGCCTTGGCATTTTGTGCCGCTATTGGAGCAGGGACGTCAAGCGTTGGAGCAGGTGAATCGTGAACTGGGTTTGGCCTTCACTGACTACGATCTAGACTACTATTTTGAGCTCTTTGCGCGCACACTGAAACGAAATCCAACCACTGTGGAGTTGTTCGACTGCGCCCAAAGTAACAGCGAACATTCACGGCATTGGTTCTTTCGTGGTCGTATGGTTATTGATGGTGTCGAGCAACCAAAGTCCCTTATACGCATGATAATGGACACGCAAGATCACACAAATCCGAACAATACGATCAAGTTCAGTGACAATAGTAGTGCCATACGTGGCTTCGAGCATGCTGCACTGCAGCCACGATTGTGTGCGCTGCCGGGCTCGGTCAGCCTGGAGAAAGTGCAGTCTGATTTGATCTTCACCGCCGAGACCCACAACATGCCTACGGCAGTGGCACCATTCAGTGGTGCCACCACCGGCACTGGCGGTCGGCTTCGCGATGTGCAAGGCGTAGGACGAGGTGGTGTGCCTATTGCGGGAACCGCTGGATATTGCGTAGGCTCCCTGCACATACCAGGTGAGTGAAAATTTCTTAACGCACACTATTTTATTTTGTGATGGCTCGGTAGGCAAGAAATTATTGACCCGCACTTTGTAAGGCTTTTTCTTAAACGTATAAATGTATACTTATATGAGGTAGGAATATAAAAATAAAGATTAGATCTTTCTGATAAGGTTAAAACATGCTCGCTTAGTTGAAAAATAAGGAAATTAAATAGACTCAACAGTATAGCTTTGAAAAATAGAAATCATAGGAGATATATTTAGTTCTCAATATACTATACTTTCTGTTTAATTTTATAACTATTTATTTTATACTGCGGGGACTATATTAAACTAATATTTAAATCCTAATTTAATTTGTTTTAACAGACAAAATTAATTCTAATCATACTTGTAGATCTGCATCTATGTATATTTTGTTAAAACTCTACTATTCTCTTCTTTTTTGCACAGAACTCCTTTTGTTTTCGTATTACTTTCAGTTAGTTTTGTCAAATGGTTTTAATATATTACAGCCGCGATAGGATACTTAAGTGTAGCTAAAAAATTTCCAATTTTTCTGTAACTGCAACTGCTAGATTAATAATAATTATCAACTCGCAGGTTACATTCAGAGCTACGAGCCCATTGGCTACAAATATCCCAGCTCCTTTGCCCCGCCTCTACAAGTCCTCATTGAGGCAAGCAACGGCGCTTCTGATTATGGCAATAAATTCGGTGAGCCGGTCATAGCGGGCTTTGCCATTTCCTATGGCCTGAACAATGCTGCTTCGCCGAATATTCGTGACGAGTTCGTCAAGCCCATCATGTTCAGCGGGGGATTGGGAACGATGCCTGCGGCTATGCGGGAGAAGCTGCCACCTGCACGCGGGATGTTGTTGGCTAAAATTGGTGGTCCTGTGTATCGTATTGGTGTTGGCGGTGGCGCCGCCAGTTCTGTGGAAGTACAGGGCTCTGGTGATGCCGAATTGGACTTCAATGCTGTGCAACGTGGCGATGCGGAAATGGAGAACAAGTTAAACCGCGTGGTACGCGCTTGTCTGGAGCTGGGGGCCAAGAATCCGATATTGGCTATTCATGATCAGGGCGCCGGTGGCAATGGCAATGTGTTGAAGGAGCTAGTGGAACCAGGATTCGCGGGTGCAATTATTTTCTCGAAGGAATTCAAACTGGGAGATCCCACGATCACAGCACTGGAGCTCTGGGGCGCCGAGTATCAGGAAAATAACGCCATCTTGTGCAAGCCAGAGCATCGCGAATTGCTGGAGCGGATCTGCGCCCGCGAACGTTGTCCCATTAGTTTTGTGGGCGTGGTGACAGGAGATGGTCGTGTAACGCTCGTTGAAGATGCCGCAGACTTTGAAAAGGCATTGATGCCAGAGTCACGTAAAGATTATGGAGCTGTGCCGTTTGATTTGCAGCTGGAACATGTGCTTGGTGATATGCCCAAGCGGGTCTACAAACTTGAACGTGAGCCTCTGCATCTAAAGTCACTTCAACTACCCACAGATTTAAAGCTTACGGAGGCCTTGGAGCGAGTGCTCAGCCTGGTTGCTGTGGGAAGTAAAAGATTCCTTACCAACAAAGTGGACCGCTGTGTGGGGGGCCTGATAGCCCAACAGCAATGCGTTGGACCACTGCAGGCACCACTAGCGGACTATGGGCTGACCACCGTCTCCCATTTCACCACCGCCGGCATAGCCACCTCTATAGGGACGCAACCGCTTAAAGGTGAGTGACAAACAAATTTAAAAATAAATACTATATTTATCAAACTTATATTCTTTTAAATCTTCGTAACATTTTAATCTATGTTACGAATAATAACAACATCTTTAAACCATAATATCACTTTTGTAAGAGCCTTAATACTTGACGAGCAAGATTTATAGTTTGTTTATTAATTTGGAAAGATTCGAAATATCCAACCAAATATATAAGCGTGTTCGTTTGTTCTTTGTAGAACATTTCGGTCATCCCTTGCTCCACATTTAAGGAGCAAATATATTAAAGAGTATTAGCAAATCACTTTCTTTTCTTTGAAATAATAATTATAAAATTAATATTTGATATTCTTTTAATAAAATAAAATAAATAATTATTTAAATGTTTTTTGTTTCAAATCTTATAACAGTTATTAACTGGAGAAAAGATTTTGTACATCTATATTTATTTTAAAATCATTCTATTTATTTTTTTGCTTAATTAATTAAATTTGCGGACTTTATAGCACTTTTTTATAGCATTGTTGCGTGTTGCTGCAATTTCTGTTATCCTTTTATTTTTCAAAGTTCTAAATCTGTAGTTTTCCGGAAAATTGAAACATTTTTAAGAAGCGAAAGACGATTATTAAAATCGTTTTAAAACAAAGAATTAACTGTTTTTACTTCCCAATATATTGTTGAAGTCTCTTTTCCTGCACATAAAATTAAATGTTATTTAATTTTTAAGAACAGAAAGACGATTATTAAAATCGTGTTAGAACAAAGAAGTAATTAACTGTTTTTACTTTCCAATATATGGTTGAAGTCTCTTTTCCTGCACATAAAATTAAATTTTATTTGCTAGTCGATTAACATTACCTTTATTTTTACAGGTCTGCTTAGTCCTGCGGCCATGGCGCGTATGTGTGTGGCTGAAGCGCTCAGCAATCTCGTTTTTGTGAAAATCACCGAGCTGGCCGATGTCAAGTGCTCGGGCAATTGGATGTGGGCGGCCAAGCTGCCGGGCGAAGGCGCCCAGATGTACGATGCTTGTCAGGAGCTGTGCCAAATAATGCAGGAACTTCACATAGCCATTGATGGTGGCAAGGACTCCCTGTCGATGGCCGCAAAAGTGGGCAGCGAGACCATTAAATCACCGGGAACGTTGGTTATCTCCACATACGCACCCTGTCCCGATGTACATGTGCGTGTCACGCCAGATCTGAAGGGTCCGTCGGCCGGAGCAAGCACCGCCTTGCTTTGGATAAATATCGAGAAAAGTTTCCGCTTGGGCGGCTCGGCGTTGGCTCAGGCATTCGCACAACAGGGTAATCAGTGTCCGAATCTGATTCGAAGTGATGTTTTGGGTCAGGCCTTCGCGGTCACCCAAACTTTGTTGCAGCAGCAATTGTTGCGCGCCGGGCACGACATCAGTGATGGCGGATTAATCGTTTGTCTGCTGGAAATGGCCATTGGCGGAGTGTGTGGACTGGAAGTTAATTTGGCTGAGGCTTTGGCTGCTTTCGAGGATTACGATGCAGCTGCGTTGGCCATTGAGCGGCCCGAGCTGGCACTGCTCTTTGCCGAGGAGTGCGGCTGGGTCGTGGAGGTGAATGAGGCGGATTTGAAAGCTGTGCGACAAATCTATAACAAAGCGGGAGTGCCCAATTACTATCTAGGCAAGACCACGAGCTATGGCTTGGAGGCACAGGTGCGCATTACAAATGGGCCGAAAATATTGCTTCAGAATTCATTGCGAGAACTATACAAGCAATGGGAACGGACCAGCTACGAGCTGGAAAAACTGCAGGCCAACCAGAGTTGCGCCATAGCGGAATTTGAGAGCCTTGACTACCGCCGTGGTCCGCAATACAAATGTGGAGTGAATCTACAGGCGGAGCTTACACTGAAACGCAGCTCAAAGCCTATTCGAGTGGCTGTGCTGCGGGAGGAGGGCGTCAATAGTGAGCGCGAGATGATGGCCTCTCTGTTTAGAGCCAACTTTGAGGTTCATGATGTAACCATGTCAGATTTGCTGGCGGGTAAGTACAACGTTGCTGTAAAGCCACTTAATAATTTGTATTAATAGGACCCGGCTTCGCTTTCAGGTCTTACCAGCTTGGATAATTATCGTGGTCTTGTCTTCCCCGGTGGCTTCAGCTATGCGGACACCTTGGGCTCGGCAAAGGGCTGGGCAGCCAACATATTGTGCAGCAAGCTGCTGCGTCCGCAGTTTGAAGCTTTCAAGTTACGCCAAGATGTCTTTTCGCTGGGAATTTGCAATGGCTGTCAATTGATGACGCTAATTGGTTATGTGGGCGAAGGGAACTCCGATCAGCATTCCACATCCGTGGCTTTGTTGCACAATCAGTCGCAACGCTTTGAGTGCCGCTGGTCTACCGTGCGCATTCCTGCGAACAAGGCGATGATGTTGCGAAACATGCAGGATCTCGTATTGGGCTGCTGGGTGGCCCATGGGGAGGGTCGGTTTGCCTTCAAGCATCCGGAATTGCTGCCACGACTCAAGTCGCAGCAATTAGTGACACTGCAGTATGTGGACGATGAGGGAGTTCCCACAGAGCGCTATCCCATGAATCCCAATGGCAGTCCCGAGGGCGTTGCCGGTCTCTGCTCCGTTGATGGACGACACTTGGCTCTGATGCCACATCCGGAACGTTGTAGTGCCATGTATCAATGGCCATATGTGCCACATGATTTTGCCGTGCCAGTCGAGCAAGTGGAGAGTCCCTGGCAACTAATGTTCAACAATGCGTACAACTGGTGTGTGCTCCAGAACGAATAGAGACGCTCAAATCGCTCGAATTAACCCTAAGCATATGCGAATTTAACTTTCTCCTTATATATTACATTCCACTTTATACACCGACACTTTTATACAATTTCTACAATTAAACGTAACAAAACAGTTTAAGCTTATTCTAATCTTTGTCGTAAAACGTTAACTAGTGTGCTATTTGCAACAAGCATTTAAGGTAATTGGCTTTGGCGCCCGGCGCCAACATGTACTTGGAGTTCCAATCGTGTTCGTTAATGTGCAGCACCTTGTATCCCATCATCTCCAGATGTTTTATTTTCAGGGATTCAGGTCCACGCAATGCTGTCAAATCATTCTCGCAAAAGGAGTCAAGGCGCAGCAATAGAATGGCAACCCTGAAGGGAATATCAAGGAAAAATACTTAAATAATACTTAAAAGCAAAATCTGCTGATGAAGAATTGTCTGCAGTTTTTAGAATTGTATATAGTTTGAGATTTTCCCTTAAAAGTTTAAAACATGTTTGAAAATGCAACGAAATGCAGGCAGTTTTAAATGAGGCTTTTAAAAGTTCTATACCATTTCCTAAAATCTGCAAATAAGTTTGGGTTTGATGAAAAGTAGTAATGATATATACGTTGAAAAAGTTTAATACATCTATGAAATTAACTAAAATGTATGTATATCGATGTAAAAGATAATACTGCTTACTTGGTTATTCGATCCAACATAGTCGTTTCCACAGGCGGCGCTGGCGTGGGTTTTTTATCCTTATCGAAGTGTATTACAAAGTCTATCTGATAACCATAGGGCGTTGTGTGATTGCAGCGGAAGTAGTTTTCATCCTTGAGCAAATCCCGGAGCAACGCCTTGACATCCGTGCTAAAACTATTGGGGAAATAGGGCTCTGTAAAAATTTCATAAAATTAAAAAATTTATATTTCAACAATTCTGTGGATATAATACGAACTTTTGCTCAGTTGCGCTTCTACATAATTCTGTTGGAACCAGGGAACATTGGCCTCCGGCAAATCTAGACATACCGTGCGATTTAATTGCATGACTAGATTTAATACTCGCTCCGGATATACAGCTTTGGAATAACAGATATGTATTTCATCCTCAATGCGTTGGATGAACTTGACACAGAAAACTTTATTGATCAGTTCTTCTGGTATAGTTTTATAAAAACACAGCGCTAGACATGCCTGAACCATGGAAAGGCCGCTCATATAATCGAAATCTCTGAAAAGAAAAGAATAAATAGTACACAATGGAAATAATTACAACTGTTGTTTCTAAAATCTGAAATGAATAGAAAATAAAATACAAGTATATATATTATAACTATTATTATTATATATTATAATTATTTATATTATTATTATTCATACAAAGTCTTCTATAGATATATCTTTTTAAAGACAGACAGCTACATGATATCTCGATAGTTTAATATATCATCTCTTATCAAATCAAGGATATGATAAATAGAGTTGTTTTGCTTCCTAAAAATCAATATTATATTGCCAAATTTTCTACATAAATTGCGAATACTTGTTAACGTTTAGGAAAATAGGGGAAAAGATAATCTAGATCATTCAATTTCACTCACCGCAGAAGCACCAATGCCGCATAATCCAATGCCTCCAGATTTTCGGGCGTATAGCCCAGATTATAAGAGCAGGTTAGCACCTTTTCTACAGTGTCACCGGTAATGTGGGCGTGCTGTTGGGCCACATAGCAAAACATCGACTCTAGCAGCTCAGGAACGATAAAATGTGAGGCGTTAAAATTATATGCCATTTCACGCACAGTACGGGAGTTGAGATCGTTGCAATCTATAGTTTTAAAACGTGCCAAAGCCTGGTTGTAACTCACGGTATTTTTCAGAGCTGTAATGAGAAGTTTATAATACTAAACATTGAAAACAAGGGAAATAACACATTCATCTAGAGAGATGGATTTCTAAGCCTTTAAAATGACTTTGAAATCTAGCTATTTAGAATATCAGTTTTACTAAGAAAGTAAAACTCGACTCTGAATTATCAATTCAGAATGATAATGAATGATGAAAAATATGAAATGTTGATGCAATTTTTTGGTGGTAGAAAGTCACTTGGCATTGTATTATCAGAGTGTTAATTATAGTTCAGCGGAATAGATTATGATCTATCTTTATCACTGGACCTTGCTAATTGTTCTCACGAAATAAGATTTATTTTTAGACAATAGTTTGCCCAAATTTTCTGCAATACACAATTATTATTATTATTATTAACTTGTTACTTACATTTGCGATGACTAAGCGTACGCACAATAAGTCCCAATTCAGTGGAAGTTAGGGAATCCGCCAAGTGTCTTTCCGCGCAAGCAACCAACACACTATCAATGGTGGATAGCTGCATGCCCACCAGATGGGGCACTTCATAACGAAAGCGCATCTCACAGGCAATTTGGATGCCACGACTGAGCAGAAAGCAATCCTGTGTACTAAATTGTGTGGCCATGCCAATAATCTTCGACAGCAGCACATTGGGAAACTTCTTCCATGCAAATGGTGTGTGTCCATAGGCTATGACAAAGGCTGCTAGTCGAGCAAATTTAGACGGCAGTCTACCGGCCACATCATACTCAATGGCATGCATGCACATTTGTGAAAGTTTACGCTCCACATTCAGATGACGATAGGTGCCGCCCAGATTATTGTTAAAATTCATGTACCGCTGACAGTGGCGCAGGAAACGCAATTGCATTTGCTCTTCTGCAGTAGATTGTAGCTCGTCAACAACTGTCGACCAGTAGGTGTTGCAGTAACGTATATCTGCAATTTTCAACGTGCGTAGCACGCTAAAGAAATTACTGCTAGCATTGGGAAGTTCCCATGCCTCTTGAGAATGCAACAGCTTCTGAAATTGGGCAATGTATGTATCGCGCTGATGTGGGGCCGCAAAGGGAACGGCACACGACAACGCATCAGGTGTAAACTCCACCTGCAACAATGTCTCTGTGGCCAACTTCAATGGTTGCAATAGAGACGCCGGTTCCTGGTGATGCAGAAATGTACGGCAAACAGCCTTCAGATCACTGGGCTCTAGCTTCTCCAAACAGGGAGCCAAACTGAGCATAATTTCTCGAATGAATGAGGTATGACGGTGCGCCCAAACGGGCAAATTCAGCATGTGTAGAATTTTGAGCAAAGCTTTGGGCGTCTCACTGCTCAAAACGCCATTCTGCAACATATCTTTTACGCGCTCCTTGTAAGCGGCTAGCAATTCTGCATCGATTAGCGTGTGCAGCTGAAAAAGACTGGTGGCTAGTAGACGCACCTGTTCCTCATCTTTGCAGGCGGCTATGTGGCACTGCAAGTGGGGGACAAAATGTCGACAAACCAGCGGTGTAAAGAACTCACGCTCCAGATTAATGCCAACAGATAAGCGAGAAAGCGCCGTCAGTGGCAGAAGTGACGCCGGATCAGTAATCTCCACGAGATGCAGCGCGCGTAGCAGTATCTGCTCCAGCGGTGACTCCCTGTTGGATACATACATTTTGCGCAGGTATAAATAGCAACAACTCAACTCGTTGATATTCATGAAAGGGATGTGAGGTTCCAGCATGGGCAGCACTTCTTGCAGCAGACGCTCCGTTAGCGCGACTTTTGCTGGCGCTGTCAAGCCTTTATAGTCTGCCCAAAGCAAAGACAAGCATTGTACAATGTGTGGCAGCAGGAATTCACGCTCGTTTGTGACCATCAAGTCCAAGAGCTCGTCGCTGTTCTGCGCCGTATTAAGACGCTGCATGAGACCATCGTTCAAGTCAACTTCCTGTGCACAGCCTTCCTCTATTTCATCCAGGCTATTTCTTACCTCAAGTTGCTGCCTTGCTGCTTTGCCAGATTCATTGCTGCTATAGCATCGTTGCGGTTGTATGTTGTAGAAAAGATGCGGTTCTGCATGTGAGTTTGTTGCTGCTGCTACCGCCACTGGTCTTGATTTGTGATTTATATGCCGGCGAAATTGCTGGAGTTGACGTCCATTTAGTAAATATTGCAGATATTTCCATTGCGTACGCGGCAAATAATTAAAATTCATTACCCAACGACTTGATTTAATTTAGAAATTGTTAAATAATGAATTAAAACTGCGACGTACAAAAAGTTGATGGTGCGCCAATCAGCTGTTTCAAACGGCGAGTGGCCACATACTTCGCATGCCGGCAACAACAATGAACTATTTATATGGTCGGTCATCTCTAACGGTGCCATCTCTAGTGGAAAATGTCTCAAAACCAAGTAATTGTATTGCAGTCGGGCTATTCTCACGCCGATGAGGAGGAACCGGGCGCCATGCGCGCTAACTGCAGCTGCACCTTAATACGTTGCAGAGATGGCACCAACATTATTGTGGACACACTGACAGCTTGGGATGGAGAGCACCTGTTGCGGCTTTTGTCGGAGGTGGGATTGCAACCGCAGGATATAAATGTGGTGGTTTGCACGCACGGACATTCGGATCATATTGGTTGCAATTACTTGTTCCAGCAGGCACGTCTACATTTGGTAGGCGCTTGTGCCTCACACAAAGATCTTTACTTTGACCATTTTGGGGGTGGCGATAAAGATGAGAAATATAGCCTCGACAAACATGGTGAGGTGGTGGTGCAACGCACACCTGGCCATACACTAAGCTGTGTATCCGTCATAGTGCACAATACAGCACTGGGAACCGTGGGTGTCTGTGGAGATCTGTTCGAGCGCCAGGACGATGTCGCTGATGCTTCGATATGGCAAAATGCGGGCTCTGAGGATGGAAAACAACAATGCACCGAGCGGTTACGTATGGCCCAACTGTGTGCGCACATTGTGCCAGGACACGGTCCAATGTTTGCAGTGACTGATGAGTTGCGTAGCAAATTAGAAGCAGATGCACTTAATTTAATATTGAAATAAAACGGTTAGCGACTATAGAATGATATCGATGTTTTTATATGCTACATATCGATATATTTGTGTGTGCGAGGTGGCAACGCCTTCACTTCCGAACTAATGCACTTTGTGACGCGAAAAAAAGCTTTTGTGCCTTAGTACATTGTATTTATCTTTTAAACGAACGGCGTAAACAAACTGTCGAATTAGTTATTGAATTAATGGACGCATCCTCCAGCCCGGCCGATAAGATGGCATCGAAAACTGCCAGCAGTAATTCGCTAGACAGCAGCTCCAAGTCCAGTTCGTTGGGGTCGAAGCACGGCGGTGAGAATGGTATGATGAGGGATACGCCTTTTATCTACTTGGATGGTGAAGAGGATCAGGATCAGAAGAACGATGTGACCTATGTGTGCCCGTACCGAGGGCCCGTTTTCGGTGCACTAACAATAACCAATTATCGCCTGTACTTCCGCTCATTGCCGTTGCGCGAACAAGAGCCGCCGCTGATTGTGGACGTACCATTGGGTGTAATTGCGCGCGTGGAGAAGATTGGTGGTGCCACTTCTCGGGGCGAGAACTCCTATGGCATTGACATCTTTTGCAAGGATATGCGCAACTTGCGCTTTGCCCACAAACAGCAGAATCATTCCAGGCGTACTGTCTTTGAAAAATTGCAGGCCAATGCATTTCCGCTCTCCTATAGCGGCAGGCTCTTCGCTTTTGCTCATGCCGCAGCCGGTGGCGGTAGCGCGACTGCCTCGTCTAGTGCCGGCGCTGGCTGGGATGGCTGGGCCGTTTACGAACCTCTTGCGGAATTGCGTCGTCTCGGCGTGCCCAACGACATGTGGCGAGCAACAAAGCTAAATGAGTCGTATAGTGTGTGTGATAGCTATCCAGCTGTGTGGGCTGTACCAAAGGCTGCTTCGGACGATTTCCTGCGACGCGTTGTACAGTTTCGTTCACGTGGTCGCCTGCCCGTTCTCTCCTGGATGCATCCCAAATCACAGGCTACCATTACACGCAGCTCACAGCCATTAGTGGGCTTAAGCGGCAAGCGGAATGCCGACGACGAGCTCTATTTAAACTATATTATGGAGGCGAATGCGCAGTCGGACAAACTGACTATTATGGATGCACGACCCAGTGCCAATGCGGTTGCCAACAAGGCCAAGGGTGGCGGTTACGAGTCGGAAGGTGCGTACAAAAACGTGGAAATTAATTTTCTGGATATACACAACATCCATGTGATGCGGGAGAGCTTGCGCAAGGTGAAAGAGGCATGCTATCCCACCACTGATGATAGTAAATGGCAGACCACCATCGACAGTACATTGTGGCTGAAACATATACGCTGCATATTGGCTGGTGCCGTGCGCATTGTCGATAAGGTGGAGACAATGAGCACTTCAGTGGTGGTACATTGCTCCGATGGCTGGGATAGAACGGCTCAGTTGACAGCGTTGTCTATGTTGCTACTAGATCCGCATTATCGCACTGTGCGAGGATTTGAAGTGCTTATCGAGAAAGAGTGGCTGTCATTTGGACACAAGTTCCAGCAACGCATTGGCCATGGCGATAACAAGCATTCGGATGCGGATCGATCGCCAGTATTTCTGCAATTCATCGATAGTGTGTGGCAAGTTAGTCAGCAATATGTAAACGCGTTCGAGTTTAATGAGCACTTCCTCATCACCATTGTGGATCATTTGTATTCGTGTCGATTTGGCACCTTTCTGTGCAACACCGAAGCAGAACGTGTTGCCGAGGGTGAGTGAAATTTAAAAATGAAATCTATTAAATTGAACTATATCCAAGTGTATACCAGTTCTTTGCGAATGTATGTAACATACAAAAGAAGGCGCGGCTGATCCCCAAAGTATATATATTATTGATCAGTATACATTTGTCCGTCCATACGTCTGTATTAACGCTAGGATCTTGGGAATTATAATTGAACTTCATATCTAGATTCTCCTAAGTCCGAGGAGTGTGTTTTTGTTTCCATGAATTTCTAGCATTTCATTCTAGATTTGTTCAGGTTGTCCTTATATTCATATTTAAACTAAAGAAAGTATTACTAATTAAGTAATACGTAGTTTATAAACTCATAGATAAGTTTCAAAAATAATAAATATATTTAATTGTGTAAGCCATAGATAACAGGAAAGTTCTTTACCATGGTCTATCCTTTTTATATCGCCACTTCAGATTTGAAGCATCGCACCATATCGCTATGGACCCATATAAACTCATCGCTTGACCAGTATTTGAATCCATTATTCCCATCATTCACACATGGCGCCGAATTGGTGCTGCGTCCCATTGCAAGCGTACGCGCGGTCCGCCTATGGAAGGGCCTGTACTGTCGTTGGAATCCTGGCCTGTGTATGCCACAACATGGTTGTCAGCGCACACGCGAGCTGCTTTCCAAACAGGATCAGCTCTTTAAGCATACGAACGAGCTGCGTCAAAAGTCCAACAATCGAAGCAACAATATGCAGACGACCACACGCCTCGCCTCACCCATGCATTAAACGGGACTAATGGATCCTGTATTCTATTTTAGATTTATTAAAAATAAACTAGCAAACTAATGGAAAATAAATTCAAAATATGTAATGGAATTTTAAGTATACATATAGTATATGTATATTTAACTGTTAAGATATGACTAATAAAATTATTTAAAGTGACTTTTTTATATATAAACATTTCAGACGTATATGTTATTAGCTTAGCTTAATCTGCTGATAAGGTAATCGAACAATGTATGTACATATGTGTCTGTTTATGTTGCCAACTGTTGCTTACATTTCATTCATAAAATTAGTTTGAACGAGCGCGTGCGCACTCTGTCCAGCATATATTTATATATGTATCTATGTATATACGTACCTGCATGTATACAGAGTTTGGGGAACGTAGCTGTTTGCGCCAAAATTAAAATCACAGTTCGTTCAGTACGTTTTCGCACGTCCATTAATGCAGTCGTCATTGTCGTTGACTTAGCTCGGCACACAGTGTTGCCAACTGTGTGATAATTGTAAGCTGCGCTTTAGTGACGCGCTTGGCAACGCGGACAGCAAGCAGCAACGAACAACGGTTAATTTGTTTCTCAATTGCATTACGCTCGGTGGTTAATTAAATAAAGGAAATTGTCCAATTGTTGAGAATTGTTTTGCATTTGTATTGTGCGACTGAATAAAGTGCCTAAACACATATGTATATAAATGCATGTAAATGTTTGTAACATGTGTGAAAAGTGTGATTAAATAAAAGCTCAGAAATGCAGCTCAAGTTCTACTTATTATCGGGTTTATTTTTGCTGTCCTTTTTGGGTGGCAACAGCGAAATTTTAGTGCTAATTTCTTGTCCGACGGCACAGCCACTAGCTGAACAGAATTGCCGAGCCCTGCGTGAAAATCTACGACAGCAGCAACTAGCGGCGGCATTCCCACAGGATTATGTCATCAAAGTGCACATAATGTATGAGCTATTCAATTACTGGACATTGCTGGACGCACTGCCGCACTTGCAAGGCCAGACACGTTTGCTAAACGCGCACACCGAATGGATTATTTGGTGTCAGCATAACACGCACGTGTCCTCGCTGCGTGTCCTGCTCGAGCAGCTGCAGCAACAAAATTCCCAGGAGGTTTGTATATGGTTGTTAAACAAAATATTTACGATAAAGGTGATTTAGGTTTCCAGGTAGCATAAGGAGGCGCTAATTACATTTATCCATAAATAAATTTAAAAACGTTAGCTCAGCTATTGAAAGAACCAATTGCACGAATCTCATGTAAATTATGAGTTATAAGTGATGGACGCCACTAGAATAAGATCGGTGATTACAAATTTTTGAAAACGAACGCTTTCTATTGATTGATTGAATGAGCTGAAGGTGTTTTCGAATTCCTAACAAAGAATATGAATACAATTTTTAAAGTAATAGTGAATACATTATTTTCACTGCGATCGTTTAATCTACTTATTAATCTAAAAGCAAGGTCGTAATATCATTATTTTGCGTTTTTACTATATGCCCCAAACACTTTTTCTATTTGGATTCAATATCTATTCCAGCCTATTTGTTGTAATTTTGTTTTCTAGCTATATCAAATAGTACAAGTAGCTAATAATTTAGATTATAATTGAATTATTTCAAAACGTACTCTCAGCTTAAAGTCCTGATTCAATAAATGTTTGTTTTTTTGAACTCCTCAAAGTCTATTCAGTTGAAATACTATAAATAATTAAAGTCCAACTGGTCTGAAACATTTTAAATTCGTACTTATGAACAACTTTTTGCTTTCTTTGACAATTTTTTTACAATTATGAAAGTTTACAAGCAATGTATGTATTAGCAGAGTTCTACATTGAAATCTATGTACAAAATATGCTATAAATACAAAATAGATCTTATCTAGGCCAAGTTACTTTAAGCCCCTCACACGTTTCTGTGTGCTTCCTTTTCTAGCTTGCCTACTACGGTCATGCCTTGTACGATGCTGAGGCCACCATCGTGCATCATTTTGCACACTATAAGAACCCAACATGGTTCCCATATCCCATGCTCAGTGCAGGCATTATTTTCACGGGTCCTCTGTTGCGCAGGTAAGTGATAGAGCCGGGGGCGACCCACACACCATAATGTAACATGCATTTGGGCTTGCAGTCTGGCCGAGCTTGTTGCCATAAATGCGTCAAAGCGGCACAGCGAGTTCGCCATTGATGCTGCACATGAGTTGGCCCGCTACCTTTTCGATAATTTAAGCCCCAATGCGTCGGGAAAACTCAAAGCACCATATAATAGTGTTAACGGCAAAGGTGGCGCAGAGGACGGAACGGATGGCCAGATGTTGCAGCACAAAATAATTTTGAAAAGTGCAGCCTACATTTGTCCCAGGGCGAATGTGTCGCCAAGCTTGTCGTCGCCATCGTCGGCGTCGTTATCCCCAAAGACGACCGATGTGCCATGTTTGTTGCATGCAAAGCCGGAGACGAGTCCCACGGTTCTGCCGGCGGATCTAGTTGCAAATGGGAGGAAAGTGGTTGAAACAGCGAGCTGTGTAAGTTTATTTATGTTTTTTATACTCTGTACATGAAATGTACAGAAGTATATTAGGTTTGCGGGAGCTGAAAAATGTAACAGGCAGAAGGAGGCGTGGCAGACCCCACAAAGTATATATATTCTTGATCAGCATGACGAGACGAGTCGATCTAGCCCTGTCTGTCTGTCTGTCCGTCTGTCAGTCTGTCCGTCTGTCCGTCCGTATGAACACCTGGATCTCAGAGACTATAAGAGATAGAGACACCAAATTTTGCACAAAGATGCGTTATGTGTGTATTCTATACGAGTTTGTTTTATTTTTTTGATTTTCCCCCCCACTTCCCCCCAATGGGGGTTTTCCCGATTTTCCATTCGTATAGTCACCTATATCTCGGAGACTATAAGACCTAGGAACACCAAATTTTAGTCCCAGATGCCTTATGTGAATACGCAGAAAATATATATTTTGGAATTTCCCTCCCTCCCCCCTCTACCCCGCAAATCGTAACTCCCGTAATTCTTGGAATTTCGAACTAAAATTTTGTAAATACCCCCAGTTGGTTATTATATGTCCGTATACCAAGTTTCACTATGATAGACCGATTTAACGAGAAGTTATAGCCATAAATATATTTGCTGCTGCAGCGCTGCAGCAGCGCTGCCCGCGGCTGTTGTTGATGTTGCTGTTTGGTTGACTGCGAAAATGCTTACACAGACACGAATAGATGCGCATAGGCATACATACACTCACACAGACGCAATTGCTATGTAAATGTGCAATTATAAACCCTTTACGTGAGTTCGAATACCGAGAGAGGTAATATCGATCAAAATTTTTTTTTATTTTCAAATTTTTTTTTCTATAATTATTGTAAACATATGTACAGAGTATTTCAAAGTCGGGACACCCGACTTTAGCTTTTTTACTTGTTTCCTCCTTGCCATGCGATTCTGATAGAAGTTATTTATTAGCTAACAGTTGTTGATAATCTATATATATACCTACAGTTTTTACTTGTAGTTCTAAATTTTTCGAAGGCCATCTTCTTTGTAAATATTTCTTTGTGGCCTTATTTCAAGCTGCAGTGTGCAGAAATTATATTCAATGCTGAATCTCAATTGTAAATTCCAAAAGACTCTTCTTAATTAAATTCTATTGTCCAATTAGTAGGAACCTTCACCTCCTTCACCTTAGTTGCTCAATTGGCCAGTTAATTAGCTTTTGCCACCTATGACTACAAATTCTAATGGATCTGGCACACTTCACTTCATGCCCTCTATCCCCATACTACAGCTACACACAACAAGCTCGCATATGTATTTTGCAATCAAAACCTGTGCGAAATTCCATAAGGAGCGCATACCAATCATCGAACGCACCTGGGCGCCCGATGCTCGGCAACGGAAATACTACAGCGATGTGGCAGGTAAGCGCAATCGACTCGACACTAAACAACAGGTCAAAACAGTATATAGGATCCAGGATGCAGGATGCACATTGAGCGCAATTAAAGCAAATAAGTGAGGCATTAACAAAAACAGAAACAGAAGCACATAAACAGACGCGCGTCATTAGCATCGGGTTAATGCACAGTGGTTCCAAATCATAATTTTAATGAAAGGAGAAAAGAACTTCAAATAAAACAAAAGATCAATTCGAGATTTAAGAGATCTTAAATAAATTGGAAATATACAATAAAAAAAAACAAAACGAGTATTTATTAACTGCTTACATAATTCGTGACGCAAAATATTTGAATGCCTTTCCCAGTTCTTGGTTGCAAATTGAAGTGAAGCTATTATTAAGTTATTTTTCCTGACCTGTCCTATATAACTGAATCAGAGCATAAGAACGTCAAATTCATCATATTTATAATAACATAGTATTGTTTTGCTTCATCATTTTGTGCGAATAGATTTTGTTTCATCAGTTATGTTTTTGGGCCTACATGGCGTATGCGTAATTTCGGAGCGCTCATACGACCCATGGCCAGAGCTAAAATGATCAATTCTTAGAATATTAAAAAAAATCTAAGACATTAAATAAAATGAATAGGAAAATAATATGAAATATTGATAGAAAGGACATACCCTTTAAAAATGAAATCTGCACTTTGCAAAATGCATTTATTTACTAATAAATTGAATGTCTTTTATTCTTTTACTTTAAAGTTTTGCGGCACGATTGATGAAGATATTGTTACTAATATTGATTTTAGTGAAGGTAGATTTAAATTTGGAACTACTGTGTGGCCAGCAAACAAGCAATAGACAAACAATGCAATGGATAGGCCAAATAGACAGACCTACATCATGGCTATATGAGTATATACGTAGTACATACTTGTACATACCTATGTACATATGTATGTACATGCCATGAATGCAGTCAACTTATTGAATATTCATTAATTTGACTTTGTGATTCTCACACGCAACCACAAACGCCCGAATGCTAAACTTGGCCGCATCCTCTTTCAACCCCGCTTCCATCCCAAACCGAGCAGATGCCAGTATTCCGACAGAGAGCACGGGTATACCGAATGTGGAGACGGGACATTGTGCCAAAACATTGGCAATATTGCAATTATCCCTCAAGGATATCAGCGAGCAAATGAAATGGGCCGAGAGGCAGGGCCAAGGGCGCCAATCCATACGATGGCTGGTAGTCGTTGATGATGACACGCTTTTGAGGTGAGTCGAAGGGGGAGGGGGAAGGAGGGGAAATGCGAAATGCTCCGATTTGTTTATTTTTATACGCGGCTTAAACGCATGATTGCGCATTCAATTAAAAAATTTATTTATTAAATTTGTACTCTTTTGCGAGTGTGGTACTTGCGTATTTATACAATACTTGAAAAAAGTGATAATACGAATTGTATATGAACTGGCTTTAAGCAAGAATTTGTATATAATGTAATTGAAGTAAAACAGAAATATTTATAAATATTTATATTGGAAGTGGAATATGCGGCACCTTGAAAATACTTAATAGACATTTTATTCTAAAACCTTCCTTCATTAAGTATTTATATATATATAAGATATTAGCTCCACAAATGGCTGAGAAAGTACTAATTAAAGAAAGGTTATCGTTTCCTGATCGTTTGCCTGAGTTCATGAGTATGCCTAAAAATATTTAATAAGATTTCTTTTCTTTTGAGTTAATAAATATGTTAATTGCTGCCTTGCAGCTTTAAAATAAATGGTGGATAGGTTTATAGTTTTCAAGCCACATATACGTTTAGCTTAAAGAACGAAACTTTCAAATTTATTATTTGATTGGCAGAAATTGGGTTTAAAAGAGCAATCATACTTCGGGGTTATCACAATGCCATTGCCAATCCAATGCTCAACACTCCTTTTTCATTTACTTTCGCAGCGTGCCTCGCCTGAGCGCTCTATTGAGCTGCTACAATCACTCGGCGCACATCTATTTGGGCGAGCGGTATGGCTATCGCCTGTATGCCTCCGATGGCTTCAACTATTTGACGGGTGGTGCTGGCATTGTGTTCAGCCTGCCGCTGGCACGACTCATCGTGAAACGCTGCAGTTGCCCCACCATTGCAGCACCAGACGACATGGTTCTGGGCTATTGCCTTCATGCCCTGGGAGTTCCGGCTCTGCACTCGCCGGCATTCCATCAGGCACGGCCGCAGGACTATTCGCCGACGCTGCTGCAGCTCATACCGCCCATATCCTTCCACAAGCTCGAGCACACACAGCCGGTCCACACCTATCGTCACTGGCTAGGTGGTGCCTATGACAATACAAGTCTGGGCCTTACGCCTGGTGCCGCTGCAAGGGCAACCACTTCCAACTATGACCTAGGACTCCTGAAGATGCATGTGGCATCGGGCTTTGAAGCAGCCTCAAAACATCTGGATTTGTAATTGGACTTGTAATTGTGATGGGCGAATTCGAATTTTCTATTCCAAAAGTCTCTTCCATAGCTGTAAGTTTCTGTTGGCTCTTTCTTGTGGAGTTCTTTTTATAACAGATTACAAATATAAAGTTAAGTTTCTGTGAATAAAATTAATTTTTGTTGCAATTTCTTTTCTTTTTACTAAAGGCAGTGCGTTGCCTAATTACAATAGTCCTTTAAAGTTAAGAAAGGTATGTAATAGTTAGCCAATTATGTATCGGGTATGAAGTTTGATTTAAATGATGTAAGCTCCGAATATTACTTAAATAAATACACTCAAGGACAAATATAACACAACCTAATAATTTGATTTAAATTAAATCCTCCACAATATTTTTATTTAATTTACCAGAAATTGCACAATTTATTTCCACAATATTATTATTTTTTTTTTACAAAATTCACTATTTAATGCTCGATTTGTCAGCGCTTAGGTACTTGGTATGAGAATCGCAGAGGAGGGCGACCACAATATTTTTATTTAATTTACCAGAAATTGCACAATTTATTTCCACAATATTATTTTTTTTTTTTTGAGGAAATTCACTATTTAATGCTCAATTTGCCAGTGCTTAGGTACTTGGTATGAGAATCGCAGAGGAGGGCGACCACAATATTTTTATTTAATTTACCAGAAATTGCACAATTTAATTCCACAATATATTATTATTTTTTTTTTAGAAAATTCACTATTTAATGCTCGATTTGCCAGCGCTTAGGTACTTGGTATGAGAATCGCAGAGGAGGGCGACCACAATATTTTTATTTAATTTACCAGAAATTGCACAATTTATTTCCACAATATTATTTTTTTTTTTTTGAGGAAATTCACTATTTAATGCTCAATTTGCCAGCGCTTAGGTACTTGGTATGAGAATCGAAGAGGAGGGCGACCACAATATTTTTATTTAATTTACCAGAAATTGCACAATTTATTTCCACAATATTATTATTTTTTTTTACAAAATTCACTATTTAATGCTCGATTTGCCAGCGCTTAGGTACTTGGTATGAGAATCGCAGAGGAGGGCGACCACAATATTTTTATTTAATTTACCAGAAATTGCACAATTTAATTCCACAATATATTATTATTTTTTTTTTAGAAAATTCACTATTTAATGCTCGATTTGCCAGCGCTTAGGTACTTGGTATGAGAATCGCAGAGGAGGGCGACCACAATATTTTTATTTAATTTACTAGAAATTGCACAATTTAATTCCACAATATTATTATTATTTTTGTTTTTTTAGAAAATTCACTATTTAATGCTCGATTTGCCAGCGCTTAGGTACTTGGTATGAGAATCGCAGAGGAGGGCGACCACAATATTTTTATTTAATTTACTAGAAATTGCACAATTTAATTCCACAATATATTATTATTTTTTTTTTTAGAAAGTTCACAATTTAATGCTCGATTTGTCAGCGCTTAGGTACTTGGTATGAGAATCGCAGAGGAGGGCGACCACAATATTTTTATTTAATTTACCAGAAATTGCACAATTTAATTCCACAATATTATTTTTTTTTGTTGAGGAAATTCACTATTTAATGCTCAATTTGCCAGCGCTTAGGTACTTGGTATGAGAATCGAAGAGGAGGGCGACCACAATATTTTTATTTAATTTACCAGAAATTGCACAATTTATTTCCACAATATTATTATTTTTTTTTACAAAATTCACTATTTAATGCTCGATTTGCCAGCGCTTAGGTACTTGGTATGAGAATCGCAGAGGAGGGCGACCACAATATTTTTATTTAATTTACCAGAAATTGCACAATTTAATTCCACAATATATTATTATTTTTTTTTTAGAAAATTCACTATTTAATGCTCGATTTGCCAGCGCTTAGGTACTTGGTATGAGAATCGCAGAGGAGGGCGACCACAATATTTTTATTTAATTTACCAGAAATTGCACAATTTATTTCCACAATATTATTATTTTTTTTTACAAAATTCACTATTTAATGCTCGATTTGTCAGCGCTTAGGTACTTGGTATGAGAATCGCAGAGGAGGGCGCCCACAATATTTTTATTTAATTTACTAGAAATTGCACAATTTAATTCCACAATATATTATTATTTTTTTTTTAGAAAATTCACTATTTAATGCTGGATTTGCCAGCGCTTAGGTACTTGGTATGAGAATCGCAGAGGAGGGCGACCACAATATTTTTATTTAATTTACTAGAAATTGCACAATTTAATTCCACAATATTATTATTATTTTTGTTTTTTTAGAAAATTCACTATTTAATGCTCGATTTGCCAGCGCTTAGGTACTTGGTATGAGAATCGCAGAGGAGGGCGACCACAATATTTTTATTTAATTTACCAGAAATTGCACAATTTAATTCCACAATATTATTATTTAATTTAGCAGAAAATTAGATATTTAATTCTGTATAATCAGACTGATTTTTTTTTTTTTAAAATATACAATTCACAAGAAAACAATGCCTATGCTTGGTTGACATGTGTACATATGTATATAGATGGAAGAATGCACACTGTATTATTAATCCTTATACACTAGGAAACTTCGATTAAAAAGTTAGCTGGAGAAACAGGCTTTTAAAGAGGTAAGAGAGACTCTTGTGAGAGCAGCTTAAAATGGTTTGTGAGAAGCAAAATCAGTCTGTAAGGAACTGAGAAGTCCAGAAATAAAGAATTCATAATTGTGACAATTATTAAAATAGAGGTGCGATAGCTCATATTTTAAGTAATGCTAATAAAATATATATTTTAGATAAATGAAGCGAGCCTTGTTGAGAATTAACTGCCGTCGTCGTCAACAAACTGCCACTGACACACATGCCACAAAAACTTACAGCCACAAACAAGCCACACAAATCCAAAAACCAATCTGCTGGCAGCCATCAAGTGATGCCAAGTACAAACATCCAACTCACGAATTTTAATTTTCTACAGAAAAACTTTTAGTACAAGGTTTTTGCTTAGCTCGACGTGGGCGGGAAATGTGAAGCTCTTGTTGTTGTTGGCTCTCGTGTCAGTTTAATTAGTGAAAAATACTCAAATGTGGTTGCGACGGATAAAGACAACGATGGTGTGTTTGGCTACAAAAAACCCCATGCTGGCAATGCAAATTATACATACATATGATTCCCCCCTCTCGTCTGCAATGCTATTTAAAATAATTTTTTATATTTCAATAGAATTAAGAATTCGGATTTTTTTTAGACCTATTAATTAAATGTTAAATATTCCTTTTTGTAATTTTTTTTCAATTAAAAGGTTTATAGGTTTAATTTAGAATAGCCACAGGCTCTTAGACAGTCAAGAAATTGAGATTCCGGTACGAATTTGTTTCTTAACTACCCAGTTCTTTCAATTAGACACTATGTGATTATCTTCGTAATTTCTTCTACGTTATGGAAGGGATAGAAAAAATAACTTTCTTATGATGGTTAAGAATATAGTCAAATCGTCCGCCACAGAGTTCTACACAAATATTTAAAAACTATTTGAGTTATAGAAAATTAAGATTTGAATAAACCTAAGTTGAAATATATTCCAATAAATGTGGTCATTTGCTGGTTATTTTGATTATTCTTTTAATACTTTGAAGCCAGATAAAAGCAGCGCTGTTTGACAGATAATCTTCTTAACGCCCTGCCCTGATCAATATAATAAATTTATACACATTTTAAAAAATAATATATAATGTAAATAAGACTAATCTTCTGGTTTCAGATGTAATTGTTTAATTTAAGTTATTGTAAATATTAACAGTATAATTAAAGTATAAGTCGTATAAAAGAATAATAATAAAAGAAAAACTTAGGAAATTGAAGCTTTTACATACTGTGTCTATATTTATCTTAGAGATTATTTAAAAAAAGCCCTATCCTAGTTGAATATATCCAGACCAGAAATAAAGCTGCGGAAGTCTTATTTTAATGGAACAGCAATTTAAACTAAGGTTAGGAGCTGGCACTACCCCTTAATAATATTTCTAAAAGCAATGCAGGAAAAGTAATGGGCTGTGCAACAATTGGAAGAATTGCAACAATTTTTAATATACCCGTATATGTGTTTAATCTATAAAATGTCAATTTAAATGCAATTTGGCTCGTTTAAGAAACTCTCGTGCTCTCGGCCGAGCACTGCTAAGTGATATGGATGGCAGACTCGATGACGAGTTAAATTATGCCAAGCTCGTTTCTTTTTCGCACCTTACACTTACTTAAACCTCATTAAATGTAAATTTTGTGTGGACCAAGCGACCGAGCCACCAAACGCTCGACTGGGGGCCATCAACAGTTAACGCTCGACTGCATTTTGTCGAGTGGTTTGCTGGAGCAGCGGACGGGAGGTGGTTCCGGCGACTATCGTCGGTGGCTTTTCAGCATGAAGTAATTTTGCCAATGGCCGACGCCCCCAAAAGCGCTCAAGTCTCAAGTATCTGTGGAATAAACAAACAATGCGCCTTATCAGCTGCCAAGCAATGCATTTCAATGGGCCTCATGAACATTGTTACATGTTTCATTTATGCACAATGTGCATCTATTATTCAAATACTAATCAATAGTTTCGCCAATTGTTTGGGGCAGAAGAGGACATCCAGACCAGTGGACTTAAACTACACAGTAAACTAAAGATGGGCAACAATGAAATACTAAGCTATCAGCCATGATTTGAATCTATGGAAAAATATAATAGCTGGCTTATTGGAGAATATTTAGTTATAAATCATTGTGCTCGTATTGCAGCTAACCATTTTTATATTAATTATTAATGTTAGCTTCATTTATTGTAACAGCTTTGTAGATCAAATTAAATAGAAAAAATAAATAAAAGTCTCATTTATGTTATTATTATTTTCCTATTTTTTTTCATAACGGATATTTGATTAAAATTGATTGTAAAAGGCGGTTTTTCAATTCATAGTCATCATTTAAAATAGAGAACATGTATTAATGTTTTTCCAGTGCATCGTTGAAAGGTGAAAATAACAATGTGTCCGTTCATTGGAGATGCTGACAGTTGTAATTGTCTGTCTGAGTCGGTGTATGTCAGCAGCCTAAATTATTAATGAAGTTAGCGAAAGTTCACGCTGATTTTGTGGCTGAGCAGTGCGGAAGTTTGAACAAAA